GAGACACCCACACTAGATATAGACAGAATAAATGCCCAAACACACAGAAACACATACCCAAACACACATGCCCAGACACACAGTCATTTCTCACATACACACAGAGAGACACACATACATATATACCCAGACACATACACATACACCTAAATACACATGCCCAGACACATATCCGGTCATTTCTCACATACACATACTGGTAGGCCCACACACACCCATGTACACACACCCAAACACACATGCCCAGACACACACAGTCATCTATCGCACACACAGACACACACACCCAGACACCAACACAAACCCAAGCACACATGCACAGACACACACATACACACAGACATACACACCCAAACACAGACACACAGTCATCTCTCATACACAGACACACACCCTAACACACACAGTCATCTCTTATATATACACACAGACACACCCAAACACACAGACACACAATCATCTCATACAGGCACATACAGACACACACCCAGATAGACACACACATAGACACACATGAATGCCCAAACACACACAAACACATGCACACACAGTCATCTCTCACATACACACAGACACACACAGACACACAGTCAACTCTCTTACACACAGACACACAGACACAGTCATTTCTCACATACACACAGAGACACACCCAAATACACAGATACACAGTCATCTCTCTCACACAGGCACATACAGACACACACACCAGATACAGACACATAGACAAACACAAATGCCCAAACACACACACTCAAACACACATGCCCACACACACAATCATTTCTCACATACACAGAGACATACACACATTACCCACATACACACACACCCAAATACACATGCCCAGACACACGCACACCCAGTAATCTCTCACATACACGTACACATAGACACACACACATGCACACACCCAAACACACATGCCCAGACACACAGTCATCTCTCACATACCCTCAGACACACAGTCATCTCTCACAAACATACACAGATGCAGATACACACACACAACACAGTCACTTCTCTTCAGGAGCTGCAGCCGTGCTTCCAGAGGGCCCATGGCCTCTCATTCTCACCCCTTCCCACCCCCACAAAGCCCAGTGCCCCCCCCGAGAGCCCAGCAGGTACCCTGCACCCCCTTCCCGTGGTCCCCACAGACCAAGATCCCCCAGGCCCCCAGAGCTCCTAACACTTCCTGCCTCTGAGTGGCCCCCTTTTTCCTGTCCTTCGGCCACTTCCTCCTGGCTGGGACTGTCTTCCCGAGACCTTCCCTGGAAAGGGGGTGCAGGAGCTCCAGGGCACTAGGGACCCCCAGCGGTGGCGGGGCTGGGGAGGGTCCCCTCATGCTTAGCCTTGTCAGCCCAAGAACAGAGCTGCTTCCTGCTTCCCAAAAAATCCCGGGGCCTCGTCTCCAGAGAGGGGGTGAGGGACCCCCAAGCCACAGAGGTGGGGGAGGGACGCAGTTGTCAGGCCTGGCTCCCGTCCACTCCCAAGGCATGGTGCTGGGGTGTGTGGGCCGCTGCTTCTCCTGACTCAGACCCCCCCCTCCAGTTTCCTGGTGAGGCCCTGGCTGGTCAGTGAGGGGGGAGGGGGGTCACAGGTTATTTATAACAAGGAGAAGTCCCTCATGGCAAGACCAAAAGCCCCACACAGCCCTCTGTGGTGGGGGGCTGTGAACTTCCCCTTTAGCCTGGATCCCCCAGCTCTGGGAGTTGCCCCCTGGGCTGGGCCCAGAGGCTGGTCCCCAGGCGGCTGCATCTAGGCTGGGTGGGGAAGGGGGCGACCCCATCACCCCTGCTCCAGGCGCCTGGCCCTTGGCGCCAGCAGGGCGGCATGAGGGGGCGGTGCCAGGCCACAGGGTGAGAATGGCTGGTCCGGAACCGGCTGTACCAGCTTGGCTGGGCCCCCGCCCTCCGTGGCCAGGCCCCACCCCACCCCTGTTCAAACACCCCTGCATAGCGCTTGAGGCTACAGAGGGACCCCCCAGCAGCCCCCTGCGCCCCACTCCCCGTCCCCTGCATCCTTGCAAATGAAGGGGTCTAGGTGAGAAGTGCTGCAGGACTGGGCATCAGGATGGCACTGCCCACCCCAGGTAGCCGTGGGGGCGTCTGCTCACCCTACTCTTGGGGCTGAGCTCGGGACAGCAAGCCACGCCTCTGCTTCCTCAGACTCCCTGGTGGATGGAGAGGGCAAGGGCGGCTGGGCTGTGGGCAGGAAGAGTTTGTGAGGGTATCTGGGCCTCCGACAGACTCCTGTGTCGGCTATTAAAATAATAATTAGTATTTCTCAGGCTGTCTGCTCCCCAGTCTGTCTGTCTGCTGGCGGGAGGCCTCTCCCTGCTCTCTGCCCCCGCAGGGATTGGGTCCCTGGGTCAGGATCCTGGCCCTGACTTCCTGCACCCATGTGGCTGGGACCCTCTAGTATGGGGGTGGGGGCACCTCAACTCATGCTGGGACTCCCCTGGCTTACTCATGGGGATGGGGGGGTGAGTGGGGCCTGCAAGTGGCTGCCCTCGGGGCAGACCTACCCAGCCCCCCCCCCACACACACACACACGCTGCCCGCTGCGCCCCCGCAGGGCCCAGCCAGATGTCAGCTGCAGTTCTGCAGTTATTAGCATGGGCGGGAGACACTGGCTTGGCCGCGGGCCCGCCAGACTCAGCGGCCGCTGGAATCTCCCTGGAGCCCGGGGCGGGGGAGGGGAAGGGGCACCCGGGGGTCACGAAGACCCTCCAAAGCCCCGCGCCGGGGACGCCCCGGCGGCTGCCGGTTCTTTTCCCCAGTGTTGGCTGGACTTCCCCCTGCCGCCCCCCACGTCTTTCTCTTTCCTTTTCCTTCTCTTTCTCACTGGGGGAGCCCGGGGCTGCCAACCAGCACGCTCCGGCCCCTGCGCTCTCTGCACCCAGAAAAACACCAACCTGGGGACCCAGAGGTCTCCCCCTCCCACTGCGTCCCAACTAAGCGCCCCCAGCTAAGGGGAGCATGAGCCCAGCCAGCCTCCCCACCCCTCTGCGTCCCAGGGAAGGTGGGAAGCTCCGACGCACCCTTCCACCTCAACTCATCAGGGCCAAGCCCTTTGCCCACCCGAGCGAGGGAGAGGCGACCCCCGCTCGTCGAGGGTGCCCGAGGGGGGAGGGGCTCCAGAGTGCCGGGCAAAAAGGAAGGGCACCCCGCCCCAAGGAGGAGGCTGCCGTGCCAGCCCGCCCAGGCGCCGGGGGCGCCCGGAGGCATCGGCCCGCCCCTCCGCGCCCCGACGGGCCGGGGGCGAAGTCCGACCCAGGCCCGCGGGCAGGCGGGGACCTGCAGGGCTGGGTCGGGCCAGGCCCGGCCTGGCAGGACGCGGCCCCAGAGCGGTGGGGTGGGGCCGGGCCAGGAGGCCGTGGGGCCCCCCTCCCCGAGGGCGGCGGCCGGGGCTGGTCGGGACTAGCCGTCCGGGGGCCCGGGCGCGCCCTGGGACCTGGCAGATACCCGGGCTCCCGGCGGCTGGCCCGGGGCCCCGGGAGCGCACTGGCCCCACCCCTTCCTGTTCCCTTATTTGGGCTTCGGGGGCGAGACTCCGGGGGGCCGCCCCGCCCCGCGCCGGGCCCGCGGACTCGGGGTGGGTTTCCATGGCGACCAGGCCCCGTCGCGACCCCTTCCGTGGCGCGGATGGAATCGTCCCCGCGCCACCCGCCCGGGCGATCGCCGCGGGCCGAACCATTGAGGGGCGGGACGCGGGGGGGAAACGGGGTCCCCGGGCCTCGCGGCTGGGTGGGGCGCGCCGCGGGGCTCGGCGAGGGGCGCAGCGCCCCGTGCGTGCGGCGAGGCGCCGCAGCCCGCCGGACCCAGGGCGGGGCGCACGGTCCCGCCGGAGCCGAGTGACGGAGGCAGGGCCGGGCGCTTCCCCCGGGCTGTTGCCACACTTCCTGCCGCGGCGCCCGGTCCCCAGCCTGTTCTAAGGAGTGGGGTTGGGCGGCCGCGCCCCGGTCGTCGGGCTGGGTCTGGGCACTCGGAGCCGACGCGGTGACGGTCAAGCTCAGGGTCCCGGGAGGGGAGAGGGTTCGGGGGAGGGGAGCCGAGGCGACCGACGCCGATGCTGGGGGGGCGGAGCCTGCACCCCGCCAAGTCCTCGCAGATCCCTCGGCTCGGGTCTCTACCCGCAGGGGACCCTCTGCTGTTGTCATTCATCTCCGAAGAGCGCCCCGACTCTTCTAACGCTCCTTCTGGAGGGGCTTCGCAGCTGAACCCCAGTCTCTGAGAGTCCCCCTCTGGCACCTCACATAGCCTTCCTGACTCAGTGTCCCCTCCAAGGTCCTCAATGACTTTGTGCACATCTAAATTTCTCCCAATTCCATCATCTTCTCCAAGATTATGGAGGGGGACCCCTCCTCATTCCCCACTCTCCTGGGGACCCTTTTGTTTCACTGACCCTCACTTTTCATGAACTCAGTTTCCCGTGTGGAAAGCGCAGCTCCTCATCCCGGTACCTTGAGACCCCACTCAGTTACTAAGGCGTGGAACTCCGCGACCTGCCCCCACTCACCCTGCACACTCCCCTCTTTTGTGGGGGTCTTCACCGTTTTTTTTTCTTTAAGTCTTCCAGCCCCCTCTGGGATGCTCCAGAGCCCCTCCTCCTTCCCGTTTACAATCTGGGACCACCTCCCCAGCCCCCACCCCGGCTTTGTTTTGTTTCAGTTCCTCGTATCCCTCTTCTCCTATTCCGGGCGACCATCGCTTTCCCGAGACTGTCCCCCGGGTGTCTCGGATCGCGCCAGCACCCCCCGATCCGGTTGGCCCCGGGGTCCCCCGCGCCCCTCCCCTGCCGCCGCGCCGAGCCCGTGGCCGCTGTTTACAAGGACACGCGCTTCCTGACAGTGACGCGAGCCGCCTCCTCCCCTTCCCCACGCGGGAGGAGGGGGGCGCGGGGGCCCGGTCGCGCGCGGGCCAATCGGAGCGCACTTCCGTAGCTGACACCGCAGTATAAAGGCGCGGGGCTCGGGCTCCGCGGCTGGGACCTTGAGCGCGGCCGGGCCAGCAGCGGAACCTGCGGGGAGCGGGAAGACAGGGGAAGCGACAACCCAAGACCCCGAGCGCAGCGCGCCCGGGACTGCCGGAGGGGTCTCGAGTAGCCGCCGCAGCTTCCGCGCACAGCCGCCGGCTGCCCGCTCTCGGCCCGGGGCCAACGTCCAGGAAGCCCCGTCCGGACCCAGGCAAGCCACCGGCCGCCCCCGATCGCGCGCCGCGAGCCCAGGGGCGGCCCCTCAGGGACCACCCCCCGCCTCCCGGGCCCCCGGACCGCCCGGATGTGCACGAAAATGGAACAGCCCTTCTACCACGACGATTCGTACGCAACGGCGGGCTACGGCCGGACCCCGGGCGGTCTCTCTCTCCACGAGTACAAACTCCTGAAACCCAGCCTGACTCTCAACCTGGCCGATCCCTATCGAGGTCTCAAGGCGCCCGGGGCGCGGGGGCCGGGCGCCGAGGGCAGCGGCGGCGGCAGCTACTTCTCCAGCCCGGGCTCGGACACGGGCGCGTCGCTCAAGCTCGCCTCCTCGGAGCTGGAGCGCTTGATCGTGCCCAACAGCAACGGCGTGATCACCACGACGCCCACACCCCCGGGACAGTACTTTTACCCCCGCGGGGGCGGCAGCGGTGGGGGGGCCGGCGGTGCCGCGGGCGGCGTGACCGAGGAGCAGGAGGGCTTCGCCGACGGCTTCGTCAAAGCCCTGGACGACCTGCACAAGATGAACCACGTGACGCCCCCCAACGTGTCGCTGGGCGCCAGCGGAGGACCCCCGGCCGGGCCCGGGGGCGTCTACGCGGGCCCCGAGCCGCCGCCCGTCTACACCAACCTCAGCAGCTATTCCCCAGCCTCGGCGCCCTCCGGAGGTGCCGGGGCCGCCGTGGGTACCGGGAGCTCCTACCCGACGGCCACCATCAGCTACCTCCCGCACGCGCCCCCCTTCGCCGGCGGCCACCCGGCGCAGCTGGGCCTGGGCCGTGGCGCTTCGGCCTTCAAGGAGGAGCCGCAGACCGTGCCCGAGGCGCGCAGTCGCGACGCCACGCCGCCCGTGTCCCCGATCAACATGGAAGACCAGGAGCGCATCAAAGTGGAGCGCAAGCGGCTACGGAACCGACTGGCGGCCACCAAGTGCCGGAAGCGGAAACTGGAGCGCATCGCGCGGCTGGAGGACAAGGTGAAGACGCTCAAGGCCGAGAACGCGGGGCTGTCCAGCACGGCCGGCATCCTCCGCGAGCAGGTGGCCCAGCTCAAACAGAAGGTCATGACCCACGTCAGCAACGGCTGCCAGCTGCTGCTGGGGGTGAAGGGACACGCCTTCTGATCGCCCCCCGCCCCTCCGCAGCATCCCCCTTCGGACCTTTCCCCAGCCAGGACGGCTGGGCGCACGCCTCCCACGGGGCGAGGGGGCAGACGGTGGGCACCCATTCGGGGGGCCTGGGGTGCCGCCCACCACACTGGACACTGGCCCTCCAGCTCTGCGCCTCAGTCCTCCCACCTCGACGTTTACAAGACCCCCTTCCACGTTTTTTTTTTTTGTATTTTTTTTTCTGCTGGAAACAGACTCGATTCATATTGAATATAATATATTTGTGTATTTAACAGGGAGGAAAGGCAGGGGTGATCGCGGCGGAGCTGGCCCCGCCGCCCGGTACTCAAGCCCGTGGGGACACTAGGGAGGGGACCCCCCCCCGCCTCTTTGCCCTCCCCCCCTTCTGCGCCGTACTGTGGCGAAGAAAGACGCGCTTGGTCTCTAAAGAGTTTATTTTAAGATGTGTTTGTGTGTGTGTGTGCGCGTTTGTTGTTCTGACTTTTTATTGAATCTATTTAAGTAAAAAAAAATGGTTCTTTATTAATTTCTGTGTATTTTTTTTCCAAGCCGGGCGGGCGGAGGGAGGAGAGTAACAGGGTGAGGGGGGCTGACCCCCACCCCACGACGGTGTGAGGCTGGCGCCCAGCTCCAGCGCTGCGCAGGCATCTCGTGGCCCGACGCCTGACCGCCAAGCCTGCCGGCGCGCCCTGATCCCCAGGGCTGCAAGGTCCAGGGACGCGACGCGGTCCAGACGCCCCGCGCCGCGGTGGGGTGGGGGAGGGCGGGCCTGGGCGCGCGGGCAGGGGCGCAGGCGCGGCCCCGCCCCCCGCGCGCGCCGGGGCTTTCCCCGCTGACGCAGCGGAAGCGCTGCCCATATATGGACCGATTCAGCCTAGTGACGCGCCGGCGGTCTCCGGGCAGATTCCGGGAATCCCCTCCCCCGCTCTGCCCGGCAGGGCCGGGGCGACGGGAAGGGGGCCGGGATTTTCCCAGGCGGGCTATTGCTTGGGCCCGGAAAGCCCCAGGCCTGGGTCCAGAGCGTCCCTGGGGAGCGGCCTGCCGCGCTCCAGGGTCCCAAGACCTCAGCCTAATGTCACCACTGCTATCGCCTCCCCCATCGGACTGGCGTCCGCGCCCGAGGCCAGGCGCGCCCCGTCCGTCCAGACCCCGACTGGGGGTGGGGATTTGCAGGTTGCGCGTCCTTGCGGCCACAGTCCACTCCGCCCCCACCCCTCATCAGGAAGGGCGGCGCCCGCCTGCCAGTTTCCCGTCTCGGTGCCAGGCCGGGAGCAGGGCGGCTGCCAGGTCTGGTCCTGCCGGGGCGGCCGTCACTGGGGCCGCCCTGAGCGCGCGGCACGCCCCCGCGGCTGGAGCGCCCCCTGGGACCCTGGCTGGTTTCGGTGCGGGGAGGGTTGCCTGAACATCCCGGAGGGCTCCCCCAGGCTGAGCGTCTAACTTTGACACGTCCGGGATTGGAAAAGTGACAGCAGCTGGGAGCGGGACGCAGCGGACGAAAAGACCGAGGAAGCGACCACCCAGATGCGGGCCAGGACAATATAAACTTCATTTGTAAAAAGAATGAACGAGAAACTCCAGTGGTTTAGGGGCTCTTCAGACAAGTTTTGGTTTTGGTCTTGGGGGATCACACCTGGGGGTGCTAGGGCTTAGTCCTGGCTCTGCCCTCAAAGATCTCTTCTGGGGTGGGGTAGACCATCTGGGGTGCCAGGGATCAAACTTGGGCCTGCCACATGTAAGGCTACCTGCTGGCCTAGCGCTCCAGCCCAATTTAGGAGATTTGAAACCGCGTCGGAAAATTCCTGGGAACATCAGAGTAGATTTCACACGCAGAGTTCCCAATCTCAGGAAACAACAGGAAGTTACTAGCCAGAATGGAGGGGCTCAGAAGGGGGAGATAAGGTCCATGAGACCAGGGGAGACAGTCCAGATCCTGGGAAGGAGGATCCGGTCCTAACAATTTAGGGGGAGATCCCTGGCCTTTGAGGGTTTTATGCATCCAAGTCAGGTATGTGGACTTGGGATCTCAGAGAGGGATGGGATCTCAGAATGGGATCTCAGAGAGGCCAGGCCCCAAGTCTCAACACAGCATCAAGCGCATCCAATGACAATGGCGTGTACCAGTACCGGAGTGATAGTACAACGAGTAGTCCATTTGCTTTGCACGTGCCAGACCAGGGTTTGATCCCCAGCATCCCATATGGTCCCTTGAGCAACAGCAGGAGTAATTATTTTTTTTTCTTTTGGGGTCACACTCGACGATGCACAGAGGTTACTCCTGGCTCTGCACTCAGAAATTACTCCTAGCGGTGCTCAGGTGACCATATGGGATGCTGGGAATGGATCTCAGGTCGGCCGAGTGCAAGGCAAATCCCCTACCCGCTGTATTATTGCTCCAGCCCCAGGAGTAATTCTTGAGTGCAGAGCCAGGAGTACCCCTGAGCATCGCCGGGTGTGACCCAAATATTGCCCCCCCAAAAAAAAACAAAAAACGAAAAACAAAAATCAAGGGTGTGCACACCCACGGGAATAATGCCACAGCTCTTTCCACCCATAGCTGCAGCATTTCCAATCTGGGGAGCACGGCAGACTTCAGGACCGTGTGTGTGCTTGGTTCTGCTATCAAGACAAAGTTCAACCCCCGTTTCCATCGACTAGACTTAGCGCCCAGCCCCCACAAGTCGCCAAATTTTCCTGGGAACTAACCCATCAACTGGACCTGGAGCTTCTCGCTGAATGATTCCCATTTTCCTAATGAGCATTGGCCCCCCCCCCCCCCCCGGCTGGCTTTAGAAGTGCTGCCCTCGTGTGGCCAATTTTCAGGATGGCGAGCATTCTGGGGGCTGACTGGTTTAAAAGGACAAGTAGTCTCCCCATGGCACACTTCTCAGGCTGAGAAGATGCGCGGGTGGAGCGCGGTTGGTGCTGGGGAGGCGTGCACGCGGTGCAATGCTGCCACCTGGTGGTAGAATGTGGTACCCGCAGCAACTTCAGTATTACAGACCGGAACAGGGCGGAAAGGTGGGAGGGGGAGGGGGCGAGGCGCGCGGGGAGCTGTGTACCTGCGTTCTGAAGACAGACCACAAAGACACGGATTCACATCTAGCCCTAATACTTTATTGACTCCTTCTAGGCCTGTGCTGTGCGACGTGGGCTCCAGAGTCAGGGTCACCACCATTCACCAGCTTCGGAGAATCCCTCTGCAGGAAGAGCCTGGAGTCGGAGGGCGGGTCTGGCCTCTCTCTGTGGACAGCGTGGATGCCCAGCGCGGTTGCAGGTGGGCAAAGGGCCAGCCTAGTTGTGTTTGGAGAAGTATTCCTTGCTGTCATCCACGTTGGGCTTGATGGTGTCACTTCCGGGCTTCCAGCCAGCCGGACACACTGTGGGGAGACAGAGGGATTCAGGTGCAAAGCAGGGCAGGGGAGGGGGGAAGAGGTCAAATGGGTGCTGAGCTGCAGGACAGCAGAGCCTGGGAGAGGGGCTGGAGTAGTAGCGCGGGGGGGGGGGGGGGGGGGGGGAGGGGAGGCGCTTGCCTTGATTCGGCCAATCGTGTTTGATCCCCCCATGGCCAGACCCTCTATGGTCCCCCAGTCCCCACCCGGTGTGATCCTAGAGTGCAAAGCCTGAGCACTGCTGGGTGTGCCCCCCATCCCGTGCAGTGGAGGGAGAGAGGGAGGGAGAGGGAAAGAGAGGGAGGGAAAGAGAGAGAGAGAGAGAGAGAGAGAGAGAGAGAGAGAGCTGGGAGAGCCAGGCCAGGAGGCCAGGTAGGGACAAGAACTAGCCAGAATGACAAAAGCTCTGACTAAAGCTCCCCAATCTAGTCCCATGGCATAATTTTATTTTCTTTTTGTCTTGGGGCTTCACCTGATAATGCTCAGGGGTTACTCCCGGCTGTGCACTCAGTAATTCCTCCTGACAGTACTTAGGAGACCCTATGGGACGCTGGGGATAGGACCCAGGTGCACCATATGTTAGGTAAGTGCATAACCCACCTTTCTGGCTGGTTCTGACTGATTTTGTTAGTTTTATTTGGTTGATTTGGGGGAACACACCCAATGACGCTCAGGGCTTACTCCTACACTCAGGGATCACTACTGGTGGGGCTTGGGAAACTTATGGGGTGCTGGGGATTGATCCTGAGTTGAATGTATGTCAGGCCAGCGCCTTACCCACTATGCTATCCTCTGCCTCTCTGGCGAACTTTTATTGGGGGGCTGGGGGTGGGGGTCGCATTCTGTTCCAGTGGTGTTCAAAGTTCACTCCCAGTAGTGCTAAGAGGACCATGTGAGGCTGGAGAGAGAACTGAAGCTCTTACATGGAAACATATGCACCAGCCCTGAGACATCTCCCGGGCCCTGATTTTTTGGGGGAAACATTCCCAGCAGTGCTGGGACGCAATTCCTGCCTCTGCTCAGTGACCCTGGGGAGCCAGGAGCCAGCATGGTGCTCCAGCCTGAAAGCATGAGCTTCCACCCTTTGACTGACCTCCTGACTGGGCCCTAATGCTTTTGTTGGAGTTCACACCCGGAGGTACTTGGGGATCATCCCGACCTCCATATGCATGGCCCATGCTCCAGCCCAAGGATTTCTTTCTCCCCTCCCCCCCATTTTTTTGCTTTTTGGGTCACACCCGGCGATGCTCAGGGGTTATTTCTGGCAGTGCTCGGGGGACCCTATGGGATGCTGGGAATCGAACCCAGGTCAGCCGCATGCAAGGCAAACGCCCTACCCGCTGTGCTACCACTCCAGCCCCTCCCCCTTTTTAATAAAGAGTTTTTCTTTGTTTTGAGGCCACAGTTGGCGATACTCAGGGGTTACTCTTAGCTCTACACTCAGGAATGACTCCCTAGTGGGACTTGGGAGACCATACAGGATACTGGGGATTGAAACCGGATTGGCCTAGCCACTAACCCCTATAAGGCAAATGCCCTACCCATTCAGGTTCAGGCCCAAAGACCTTATTTTTTCAGGGGGAGAGGGTGTGGTTTGGACCTGGTGGTGCTCAGGGCTTACTCCAGGCTCTGTGCTAAGTGATCATTCCGAGGGTGGGGGTGACTCACGGGACAATATGGGGACCCAGGGATTAAATTGAGGTCGGCTGCATGCAAATGCCCTCCCTGCTTACTATTGACCTGGCCCTGTTTTAATTATTTTTGAAGCTTTTTTATTTTTCAATTGTGAAGAACACAATGGGTCCCCATCAGGGGGTCTGGGTCCTTCCCAGAGGAGCCAGGGGGACAGGCCACACCCGAGAAGCAGCCCAGGTATAAGGCGTGTTCTCTGCCACTTGCCCGCATTTCTGTTTCCCATCCTTTGAATTCTACCCTTTTTGGGGGAGAGGAGGCACTTCTGGCAATGCTCAACATTTACTCAAAGCCCAGGGGAGGGGGCCGGAGTGATGGTACAGCAGTAGGGCGTTTGCCTTGCATGTGGCCAACCCGAGTTCAATCCCCAGCATCCCATATGGTCCTCCAAACACCACCAGGAGCAATTCAGAGTGCAGAGCCAGGAGTAACCCCTGAGCATTGCTGGGTGTGACCCCACCCCCCAAAAAAAGCCCAGGGTGGAAGGAATTGAACCCAGGTTGGAAGGAATTGAACAGGGTGGAAGGAATTGAACCCAGGTTGGCTACTTGCAAGGCAAGTGTTACCTACTCTTCTCTTGCCCTGGCCCCTCACTCCCATCCTATTAGGACCAGAAAGTACAGGGCAGAGGAAGCCTTGTATCCCACAAAGTCCGGTTTGACCCGTGAGTTTTCCCTGGAGCACCATCCTGGTCACTCCTGAGCACAGAGCCAGGAATAGCTCCTGAGCACTGCCAGACCAAAAATAGGGCCTGAGGAGGCAGTCCATAGGGGAGGCACTTGCTTTGCACGTGGCCAACCTGGGTTTGATCCCTTGTGCTGCAGATTCCCAAGCACCACCGGAAATGATCCCTGAGCGCAGAGCCAGGAATAAACTCTGAGCACAGCTGGGTGCGGCCCCCAGCCAAACTGAACTCTACTCTGCTGTCCTTTTGCCCATCTTCCTTCCCATCCTGCTGGATTCCAGGTCTGGCCAGGCCCTCCTACGCTGGACCGAGGGGCCCTGCTCACCTTCCCCATGCTCATCCGTGTACTGGAAGGCCTGAACCAGCCGCAGTGCCTCCTCCACCGAGCGGCCCACGGGCAAATCATTGACAGTGATCTGGCGGAGAACACCTTTGCCATCGATGATGAAGAGGCCCCTGGGGACAGCAGGGTCACAGTGAGGGGGGGTGAGGTGTGAAGTGGGGGGGTTCCTAAGCCGGGCTGAGCTTGCCCCCCCTTACCTGTAGGCAATGCCTTCATCTTCCTTCAGCACCCCATAGTCGTGGGACAAGCTTCTGGTGACATCGGCTATCAGGGGAATTTTCAGGGGGCCCAAGCCTCCCTCCTTCCGGGGGGTGTTGATCCTGGGTGGGGTAGGGGCGACAGGGCTGGGACCTCAGGCTGCCTGGCCCAGAGGGGCCCCACAGCCCCAAAGCCCCAGGCACGATAAGACTTTGGAGTCGCGTGTGCTGGGGGTTAGAGATAAGGGACTCTGTGGCAAGGCGCGGGTGCCTACCGCACGCTGAAATAGTTGCAGGTGCTAGGCCGGCCTGGGGATTCACCTGTGGGGGTGGGGGGGCCTCCCCAAGCTGGCGGGGTGCAACCGCCTTCCCCAGCCTCTAACAGGAGGTGCGACATTCATGAAATCCCTTCTGGAACTAGGGCGGGGAAGATCCCCGCCCCCCCCATAGGGGTTCCCAGAGGGCAGGAGCCTGGGAGAACCCCACCCCCCACCCCGCCGTCCTACCAGGCCAGGTGGGTGAACTGGGAGTCCACGGAGACGCCCAGCACCTCGCAGCCCAGCTTGCGGAAGGCGTCCGCGTGCTCGCTGAAGGCGATGATCTCCGTGGGGCACACGAAGGTGAAGTCCAGCGGGTAGAAAAAGAGGACCACGTACTTCCCTGCGGGGGGGGGCAGGCGGGGAGGCGCGTGAGGCCCCCGCGAGCCCCACCTCTTTCCCGCGCCCCCCCCCCTTGCCGCGCCCCCTCACCTCGGTAGTCCGACAGCTTCACCTCCTTGAACGCACCGTCCACCACTGCGGTTGCCTGGAAGTTGGGGGCCGGCTTCCCGATGTGCGCGTTCCCCGAGGCCATGGCTGCAAGCCGAGCGCCCCCCCCCCCCACGCCGGGTCAGCGCGCCCAGTAAGGGCCTTTGTCCTCCGGGCTCGGGGCCACGCACGCCACGCGCGCGCGCGCGGTCCCCCCAACCCCCATCCCGGGACCGAGCACCGCCCCCACCCAAAGGAGCCTTCCCGGAGGGAGGGAGGCACCGAGTCCGTGCATCCCACAGGCTGCGGGCAAGGGGGATTCGCCCTTCTTGGCACGGCCGGGGCGCCCCCGGAGGGCCGGCGCCGGCCAGCCGCGGCCTGGACAGGCCTTGACCTCGGTTTCCCCGCCCGGACAAAGGCGGCCACTGCAGTGGCGCAGAACAAAGCCCGCGGGCGCCCGGGCGGGAATGCAGCCGCCGCTCGCTCCCGCGGGATGGGCCTTCTCCATCTTGGGGTGCACGCCCCGTGCAAGGGGGTCTCTACCTGCGTGGGTCAGGGCAGGACGCGCGGATCCGCGGGAAGAGCGCCGAGGACGCGCGGGGCGCGGGGCCCTTTATAGGCCGCCGGAACCATGACGCGCAGGGCGGGGGGGGCGGCCCGGGCGGCTCCACTGCAGCCGCCGGGGAGGGGAGCCCCGGGCTGGCTCCACCGCGCGCGGGGTTCGGGCCCCGAGCGCGCCAGGGGGGCAGTTGGAGCCCGGCATGGGCCGGAGCTTGGCTGGGCTGGTTCTGTGGCTGGCGCTGCTGCAGCTGCTGGCGCTGGGGACCCCCTCTCTGTCCTCCCCTGACTATCAGTACTTCGGCTCCCACAGCCAAGGGGATACGTGGGAGCAGCTGAGGCTACAGAACCAGGACAAAGGTAACCCCCAGAGTATGTGAGGCTCCGCGCTCAGCGGCAGAGACTGCGCCCCACCCCCACCCCCAATCCCAGTCTCTGCTCCGCTTTGCACCTGGCGCGGATCTTTTTCTTTTTCCCCTCTGAGGCTCAGTATTCTCCCGGGTGGACTTGAGTAGAGACAGGGCGGAGAGGGAGGGGACACCAGGGACACCCCTGCAGCCAGAGAGTGCACAGTAGTTGGGGGTGAGTAACTGCCTGCAGTTGGAAGGATGGGAAAAGCTCCCCCCAAAAGCCAAGATTAGGGGGCAGGGTGGCGTCGAGCCTGTAGGATCCTGAAAAAGGGGCCCTCGCCCTGGGGTGGGGAGGGCGGGAGGGGGAGCCCTGGGCAGCTGAAGATCAGGTCTGACCTGCTCCTGGCAAGAACCCAGTCCAGGGCATCTGATAAGGCTCCTGGCTGGAAGTCGCACCCAGGGGATCCTAATCACCATTTGGGTTCTGAGCATCGCCAGGGCCTGGAGGTGTCTGGACACCAGGTATTAACCTTCCCACCTGCCGGGGTCAGGTGGCTGTAAGCCGCTGGGCAGGTCAGTCATGCTCAGAAGCACCCAGGGGCTGGAGACACACACATCTGGACAGGCTGCCCCGACTGGCTGGCGCGGTGGGAGGGTCGTTTTGGAAGGGGACCCCTAGGAATGAGAGCTGGGAAGGGCCCAGCAGGCAGCTCTCCTGGCTGGTGGAGAGCAGCTACATGGACCTGTGGTTACTTGGTTTTTGTTTGGGGGCCACGCCCAGAGGTGTTCAGGGGTTACTCCTGGAGCGGCGCTCAGGAATCACTCCTGACAGCGCTCAGTGGACCCTATGGGGTGCCGGAGATGAACCCAGGTTGGCCATGTGCAAAGCAAGCGCCCTCTCCGTTGTACAAAGGCTCCTGCTCAGTGGTCACTTGTCTGCGTTTCTGTCCCCCCTTCCCAGAGGAGGGCATACTGGGGGACGACCCCCCCTACCCGGCCCTCCATCCCTAGTGCTGGACTCCATTCTCGGCCCCTGGGGACGGTGGCACTGTCACTGCGACCTCGGCAAGCAGGAGCGCACCCGCGAGGTGGTGGGCAGCGCACCGGGCCCCTTGTTCATGGACTACGAGAAGCTGGTCCAAATGCGGCCCTGCCGGCTCCAGGATTGTGCCGCCTGCGAACCCGCCGACTGTGACTGAGCGCAGGTGAGACGCACGCGCGGGGCCCCGGGCTGCAAGGAGACGCGGGGACGCGGTGGGTGGAGCCTTTTCGGGTGGGCGGGGCCCGGCACTGGCGCAAGGGGGAGGGGTCCCAAGTCTGAAGCGTTTGAGGAGAATGCAGGAATGGGGACCTGAACCTGGAGGCTTGCTGATAAGCGGGGTGCAGGGAGGGGAAGATAGTGTGTGACGCCCGGGAGGGGCGCGAAGCTGGGGAGAGGCGGGGCACTAAGGACAGCGAGTGAAGGCCCACTGCGACCAGGGAAGTCAGGGTCCTGGCACACAGGGTCGTGGGAGGTGGAAATCTGGCCAAGAGTGGAAAGAGACAACAGAAGAGTATTGAAGGGAAGTATTGAAGGGAGTATTGAAGGGAATGAGGCTTTTTTTTTTTTTTTGCTTTTTTGTTTTTTGGGTCACACCGGGCGATGCACAGGGGCTTACTCCTGGCTTTGCACTCAGGAATTACTCCTGGCAGTGCTCTGGGAACCATATGGCATGCTGGGAATCGAACACAGGTCAGCCGTGTGCAAGGCAAACGCCCTACCCACTATACTATAGCTCTAGCTTCCAATGAGACTGTTTCTGGCGGAGTATGCTGGGTGCAAGTGAGCTTGTATTTTGGAGGACGGAGAGAATAATCGGATCCACTGAAACAAGAGGACAGCAGAAAGAAAGCAGGGAGGGGGCCGGAGAGACAGCTCGAGAGGCTGCATGCAAGACGGGTTCAATCCCCTGCATCCCAGTACAAAGGGACAGACTCCAGAGCTGGGTATAGCACGAGTCCCTGAGGCCGGCAACAGAAAACAGGACCGGAAAGATAAAACAGCAGGAAGGGGGCTTGCCTTGCACGCGGCCAAACTGGGTTCAATCCCCAACATTCCAAAAGGCTTCCAGAACCTACCAGGAGTGATTTCTGAGCGCAGAGCCAGGAGTAATCCCTGAGCACACTGCTCCGTGTGACCCCAAAACACGCACACAAAGAAAAGGAGAAACCTGGGGAGTGGGCCCAGAGAAATGGAGTTGGGAGAACTGGGTTTCATAGAACTTAGGCTGTATGGGGGAGTGGAACCACGAATACAAATGCTGGGTGGCAAGAGTGGCCGAGATTAGTACCAGGAGTTTTGCTCCATGGCTTGGAGGCCAGCCACAAATTCTAGGGGAAAAGGGAGCTCAGATAGAGAAAGTACAGTAAAAGTAAAAGTAAAGGCCCTCCGTTGATCATCAATTTGCTCGAGCGGGCCCAGTAACGTCTCCATTGGAGACTTTGTTGTTACTGTGTTTGGCATATTGAATATGCCACGGGAGCTTGCCAGGCTCTGCCGTGCGGGCAAGATACTCTCGGTAGCTTACCGGGCTCTCCGAGAGGGGCGGAGGAATCAAACTCGGGTCGGCCATGTTGGCTGCGTGCAAGGCAAACGCCCTACCGCTGTGCTATCGCTCCAGCCCGTGGATAGAGAAAGGAGCACCAAATAAAGGGTGTTGGGAGGATCCTCCCAGGATGGGAGATGCATGCTGAAAGTAGACTATAGACCAAACATGATTGCCACTTAATGCCTTTTTTGCAAACCACAACACCCAAAAGGAGAGAGAGAACAAAAGGGAATACCCTGCCACAGAGTCAGGGTGGGTTGGGGGGGTGGAGGGTGGGAGGGACACTGGGACCCGTGGTGGTGGAAAATTGGCACTGGTGGAGGGATGGGTATTTGATCACTGTATAATTGAAACCCAAGCACAAAAATTTGTAAGTCTACAACTGTACCTCATGGTGTTTCACTAATAAAAATTTAAAAACAAACAAACAAAAAAACAAATGCTGGGTGGATGGAGTACAAGCTGGACCCAGCGACAGACCCTTAATACTGGACATGGGGGCAAAATTTGACCACCTGGGTCATGCATTGGTCGAGTTCCTTTGGCCGGGACTCAATGAACCCTTTATTTCATTCTTCTGCCACCAGCCACAGCTTGCAGAGCTCCTGAGACCCCCCCCCCCCAGGGCGAAACTTGGAAGGAGACTCCGCCACCCAGTACCCTCAACCCGCTGCTGAGCCTGCGGCCTTGGGGACTACAATTCCCAGGAAGCCACGAGGCAGAGAGGCGGAGACGTCGGCGTCGGCCGCAAGCCCCGCGCGCTGATTGGTCCGGGGCCAGCGCCGCCGGGGCTCCCGCGGAAAGCGCGCGCCCAGTCCTGCGCCTGCGGAGCTGCTTCCTGCCACTGGGCCTTAGCGGGATGGATCTCAGCGAGCTGGAGAAGGACAATTCGGGCCGCTGTCGTTTGAGCTCGGCAGTACCGGCCGTGTGCCGCCGGGAGCCCTGCGTTCTGGGCATCGATGAAGCGGGCCGTGGCCCGGTGCTGGGTGCGCCCCCGGGCTCGGGTGGCGGAGGCGCGCGTTGGGGCTGGGGGGGGGGGGGGATGCAGTTTCCTTGCGCGGGATGTGAGGGCGCGGTGTGGTGTGGTGGTGGTGGTGGTGTGTGTGTGTGTGTGTGTGTGTGTGTGTGTGTGTGTGTGTGTGTTACACACACATACACCCGCCCCCAGCACTGTAGATAACGACCTGGAGTAGCCCAAAGCAATAAAAGCTTGCGGTTCTGGAGAAATAGTCCAGCACTTAAGGGCCTTCTTGCCTTCCATGCAGCTGGCCCGGAGTTGATCCCCCGCACCCTGTGCCTAACAGGAGCGATCCCTGAGCGCAGAGCTTAGGAGTTAGCCCGGAGCACAGCCAGGTGTGGCCCAGAAACAAAAAGTCGGGGGGCTGATGATGGAACAGTGATGTGACTTCCCCACTTCCTGCTTTCCCAGGCCCCATGGTCTATGCCATCTGCTACTGCCCCCTCTCCCGCCTGGCAGACCTGGAGGGCCTAAAAGTGGCAGGTGAGTCTGGGGTGTTGGGCCCCCGTGAGGAAGTTCCTGGGGGTGTGTGGGGGGGTGGCAAACTGGATCGCCAAAAACGAGCTGCAGCCCTTCTCTTCCTCCCCTCCTCCCAGACTCAAAGACCCTGTTGGAGAGCGAGCGGGAGAGGCTCTTTGCGAAGATGGAGGAGGACGGAGAGTTTGTGGGCTGGGCACTGGACGTGCTGTCTCCAAACCTCATCTCTACCAGCATGCTCGGGCGGTGAGGGATCCACGGGGGGGCGGGGTGGGGGGCGGCTGGAGGGGAGGGGGCGGGGGGGCTGGACATGGTTGAATGGGGTCTCTTTTCCTTCACAGGGTGAAGTACAACCTAAACTCACTGTCCCATGACACTGCAGAAGGGCTGGTGCGGTTCGCCCTGGACCAGGGTGTGAATGTTACCCAGGTGAGCCAACTATTGGCCTGCCCCCATTTGATTGATGGCGACGTCGTCAAATGAGAGAGTCAAAGAGCTGTGGGAGGGGCTGGAGTGATATTACAGAGGGTGGGGTGTTTGCCTTGCACGCAGTGGACCAGGATTCGATTCCCAGCATCCCATATGGTTGTCCCCTGAGCACCGCCAGGACTAATTCCTGAGTGCAAAGCTAGGAGTAACCCCTGTGCATTGCTGGGTGTGACCTAAGAAGTCAAAAAACCCAAAGAGCCGTGGGACGGCGGGAGCGATAGTACAGCACAGGGAGGGCACTCGCCTTGCTCCTTACCGACCTGTTCTATCTGTGACATCTCATCTGGTCCCCCAAGTCCCACCTAGAGTGATCCCTGAACATACAGAGCCAGGAGTAAGCCCTGAGAGTGGCACCCCAGCCTCCCTCTACCAACAGAAAGTATCATTGAGCTGGAGAACCCCAGAAATACACACTGCTACTCTCGACTAATTAGCCTTTTGCCTACCTTAAATCCAGCCCCCTGTACTTGGCGGAGCCCCCAGGCTCCCCCGCGTCAATCTGATCTCTACCCCAGTGACTTTGTGTCTGCAGTAAATCTCACAGCCCCACACCTCCCATCGCCCAGGACACCGTCCCCCTCCGGGTGGCCCGCCTGTCCTCCCTCCCCCAACCCCCTGACAATCTGTTTCCCATGTCTCACGCACGTAGTCATCGCTGGAAAATGTAAATCTCGACATTTAATTTTCTGATCAGAGTGGTAATTAAATCAGGAGAATTCACAGGCGAGTGAAGGAGAAGGAGATTCAGTTATCAGCAAGAAGTTGAAATTGGCACTGACTCAGCACCAGGGCGTAGCATGGGGTGACTTCAGAGACACGCTCCAGGTTGAGAGGGGATTGGCTGAGGTTCGGGGGGGTCCTGCACTCAGGGCTTATGGGGATACACATAGATGGTGAGGTAGCAAATAGATAAGAAAGGGGGTTTGGAGCCGGAGCAGTAGTACGGCCGGTAGAGTATTTGTCTTGCATGCAGCTCTCCCTGGTTTGATCCCTGGTATCCCCCGAGGAGTGATCTGCCAGGAGTGATCCCAGAGTTCAGAGCCAGGAGTCACCCCTGAGCATCGCCAGGTGTGATCCAAAAACCAAAAAAGAAGTTGGGGGGAGATTTTCTGGCATCCCAACTCAGTCCTACCCCAGGACCTTTGCACCAGCTGCTCCCCTGAAGCCCCTTTCCCACATTCGCACAGGCTCATTCCCTCACACTTGCGTTTAGAAGATGCTACTGACCCCAGAGACTTGCCCTAAGGACCGTCGGCACAGTTAGAAACTATGGCAAGTGCGTCACCCAAGAAATGGAGGTGCAAGTTTGATGCCTCGTGTTGGGTGTTTCCCCACCTGCACCACTGGGTATATAACCCTGGTGACCCACAAGCACGGCTGGGTGTGATCCCTATAAAAACACTGTCACTGTCCTCCCGTTCATCGATTTGCTTGAATGGGCCCAGTAACCTCTCCATTTTTGAGACTTGCTACTGTGTTTGGCATATTGAATATGTCATGGGTAGCTTGTCAGGCTTTCTGTGTGGACGAGATACTCTCAGTACCTTGCCGGGCTCTTCAAGAGGGGAGGAGGAATCGAACCCAGCTCTGCCGGTCTGACTGCACGCAAGGCAAATACCCTACCACTGTGCTATCGCTCCAGCCTCCGTATGAATAAAGGGTTTTTTTTTTTTTTGGTGGAGGAGGGCACACCTGGCAGTGCTCGGAGATTCCTGCTCTGTGCTCAGGGTTCACTCCTGGCAGTGCTCAGGGACCATGTGGGATGCCAGGGATCAAACCCAGGTCAGCCATGTGCAAGGCCAGAGCCCTCCCCGCTGTACTATCGCTCCAGCCCCAAAACAAATTTTTTTTTTTTTTTGCCTTTTTGGGTCACACCTGGCGATGCACAGGGGTCACTCCTCACTCTGCACTCAGGAATTACCCCTGGCGCTGCTCAGGGAACCATATGGGATGCTGGGAATCGAACCTGGGTCGGCCGCGTGCAAGGCAAACGCCCTACCCACTTTCTATTGCTCCAGACCAAAGCAGTTCGTTTAAGAGTGAAGAAAGCTCCATGAGCACAGCACATGCTTGGTGTACAGGGTTTGATCCCCAGTATTCAGTGGAGCGCCCCCACCCCCCCCCACTTTTCTCCACTGAGCCTTTTGTCTGCCAAGTGTAAATTTGACCCATTCCATTCAGGCACCTACCACAAGTGACTCATACTTGGGTGTGGCTTAATTAGCACCAATTGTGGCATTGAGATTAGGGTGTTTAAAAGGCTTCATCAGGGGCCAGAGGGATAGGACAGGGGGGAGGGTGTTTACCTCACCCACCTCGGACAGGGTTCCATCCCTGCATGTGGTCCCCCAGGCATTGCCAGGAGAGGTCCTTTAGTGCAGAGCCAGGAGTAAGCCCTGAGCACCGCTGGGTGTGGCCCAAAAACAACACGAAAGACTCCATCAGGTGACTGAGAGCTAGTCCAGGGGTTACGTCCCTGGTCCTGGATGCAGCCTGTCCCAGGTCCAAGTGGGGCCTCGCACGTAGACCCTGGACCCCATTCCTCCCACACTCCACACCTCACGCCCTCCCACCCTGGCCAGGGCTGATCCCTAGTGCCCCTGGGTGTGGCCACAAACCCACAAAATAGCGCAGGAAACGAAATTGTAACTCCAGAGGGAGCTTAGTAAGTGCTGGTGGGGTCTCAGGCCCCTGGCTCTTTGGCAACAATGTACAAACACTGAATCATTAGCGCCCTCACCTGAAACATTGTCTTATGTGTTAATTATATGGCAATTTAAAAATAAGTATAGGGCCGGGACAGAGCCCTAGCTGAGTCCTGAGGCCCTGTCCCATATCCCAGACAGCATAGGATCCCCCCATTTCCCAGAAAATCTACCCCTGCGAAAAAATAAATAAAACTGCACACTGGGCGGCCAGGGAGCAGCTAGCCAGTGTGTGTGTGTGTGTGTGTGTGTGTGTGTGTGTGTGTTGGGGGGGGTTCACCCACGTTGCGCCTCCGCCCTGCAGGTCTTTGTGGACACAGTGGGCCCCCCCGAGCCGTACGAGAAAAAACTGAAGCAGCGCTTCCCGGGTATTGAAGTGACAGTGAAGGCCAAGGCCGATGCCCTGTACCCTGTCGTCAGTGCTGCCAGCATCTGTGCCAAGGTGGGCCCGGCAGCTGCACCCTGCCTAGCTCCCCAGCTCCCTGGCGGCCTGGCGGCCTGGGAGGGGGGGTGGCGTGAGGTGCCAGCGCCCACCGGCTCTGCCCGCAGGTGGCCCGCGACCAGGCTGTGAAGAGTTGGAGGTTTGTGGAGGAGCTTGAGGAGTTGGATACCGAGTACGGCTCAGGCTACCCCAATGGTGAGCAGACAGACCTGGCTCGCCCCGCCACCCTGTGTCCCCCTCCCCCCCCAGTGGGCGCAGCGCTGCAGTCCCCGGCAGCAGCCAGTGTGGGCAGAGCTGAATTCCAGCTGGGGAGCTCGCCCCCTCCTCATTCCTCTGAAACCCTGCAGAGGGAGCAGGACTCACCATGGGTGTCGGTTTCTGGGGACCAGCCGGCTGCGACCTGGCTCCGACCTGGTAGTGCTGCACTGTTGAGGCCCAGTGCAGGGGGCATGCAGTGTTGGGGTGCGTGCTCTGGTCCCTGAGCCGTCCCTCACCTCCCTGGGCATTTCTCAAGGCGGTACACAATGCTGGGTGTGTCCTTTTGACATATCCCACTTGCCTGACATGGGGGAAATCAGCCCTGTGGCCATCAGCACACATGAGCAGCGGTAGAAATTCAGTTTTGAGGGAGGAGAGGTAACACGGAGTGCTGGAGCATGGACTCTGCCACCTAGGAGCCCCAGGTCTCACCCCCAGCATGACTGAGTGTGGCTCCAGAATGTTAAAAAGTAATATTAAAAGGGCTGGAGATATAGTACAACAGGTAGGGCTGTTGCTGACCCGGGTTCGATACCAGCATCCCGTATCGTCCTCCAGCACTGCCAGGTGTGATCCCTGAGCACAGAGTCAGGAGTAACCCATGAATGTTGCCAGGAATGGTCCCAAATCCCTCCACCCAAAGGAAAAAGGAAAAGAAATTAGGAAAAACCCCTGTGGCCAAATCTTTTTATAGGATGCTGCATCTGTTCCCCTGGGCACCGCCAGGGGTCACTCTTGAGCCCAGAGCCAGGCAATAGCCCCTGAGCACTGCGGGGTGTGGCTCTTAAACACAGACACTCCGCAATAAGAAAAGGAAGCGGGGAACCTCTAGGCTTTCCGAGACCATGGGATGCCTCGAAGTTGGGGGCTTGGGGCGTCCAGGGTCAGCGAGTCCTGATTGCTTGCTAGAGGCTGAATCATCATAATGGTAATCTAAGGACCAGCCCTTCGCCCCAACTCCTGGCTACGCGTTTTGGGGTGTGTGTGGCAGAGACAGGGCGTCAGCCCGGAAAGCGTGAGTGGGAAGGAAGGGCTGGTATCCGGCTCATATCCTGACACTACATCTGGAACGTAGGCAAAGCAGGGCGGGACACCGAGCATGTGCCGAGACAGAGCCCTGGGAGAGCGCTGAGCCCGGGGGCGTGGCCTGGATGCAGGGGGTGGAGCTTAACTTTCAAGGTGGGGCCTGAGAGCCTCACCTCTGTGGCCCGCCCCCTTGCACCCCTGCACGCCTTCTGCAGACCCTAAGACCAAAGCCTGGTTGCGGAAGCACGTGGAACCCGTGTTCGGCTTCCCCCAGTTTGTCCGCTTCAGCTGGAGCACGGCCCAGAGCCTCCTGGAGAAGGAAGCGGAAGGTGTTCTATGGTAGGTGTTGGGGGAAGAGGGGGCGCCGGGGAAGGCCAGCCACTCCCCTGACCTCCCCCACACCCCACAGGGAGGATTCCCCCACAGAGGAGCAGGAGGGTCTGGCCAGGATCTCGTCCTACTTCGGTGCCAGCTCCCGTGCGGCCCCCCGCCCCCCTCACCGCTTCTTCCGGGAGCGAGGCCTGGAGCCGGCCGTCACGCTCTAGGGCCCACCTGCGTCCACCGATCCCCATGTGTGATTAAAGTGTTGAAGGAAAATGCAGCTTTGGCTGAGGTGGGTGTAGTTGGACCATGCCCAGCGGTGCTGGGTGCCACCAAAAAGACACCTGTGTCCCCTGAGCATCATAGTGGCCCCTGAAAGCAATTTGGACTGGAGAGGGGCTTCAGGGCATAAGATGTCTTGCAGGTGGTCATGCGGCTAGTCCAGTTGGATCCCCAGCGCTGCCACCAGTCACTCCTGCATACAGAGCCAGGAAAAACGTTCAGCACTTCTGGAATGTTCCAGTCATTCTTGGGGCCGGAGAGATAGTTTAGCAAGTGGGGCACTTGCCTTGCACAAAGCTGACCTGGGTTTGATCCCCGGCACCCCATAGATTACCACGAGGACCGCCAGGAGTAACCCCTGAGCATCACCTGGTGTCACCCCAGAACAAAAACAATCATTCTTCTGAGGACAATCCTAAGGATTCCCTCCAAATTCCTCTCAGTTGTCCTTAGCTCACCCCGTCCCAGAGGGCCTCACTGTGTCCTGGGCCCCGCAGGCTTGCCCTCCTGTCCTGTGTGCAGATCCAGGCCAAGAACTCTGCCTGGTACACCCCGTGGGAAACCACTGGGCCCTCACCCCGTAGCATCAGGTTCAAGTGCTGCCTCCTGGTGCTCAAGGTCGACTGTGATTCCTGTCTCATGGAGCCTGTCCAGCAAGAAATGTCCTCCTGGGCCCACCATGCCTCCTCCCTGCTTCTCTTCCTTGCTGCCCATAACACTGCGGTGCTGATGGCCAGGGCCCCACATGTGCATTTATCTATTTGCTGAGTTTTAGGCTTTTTTTCTCTCCCTTTCTCGCTGCAATGAGTCACAGCAGTGACATGACTGGCTTGTTTGCACACTTGTTGACATGTGAGGTGTTGGATCAGCTCAAACATTTGTGCCTGCTTGGTACTGATGGAGGTGCCAGGGGTCAGACTTAGGGCCTCATGCCTGCAAAGGTGGGTACCCTTCCTGGAGGCATCTCCGTGCCCCGGATAATCCATTCACTAAGGACTAATTCCAGGTCCTTGGTGGTGCTAAAGGTTGGTCCTTCCCCAGCTGGAGGTAGGGGGGGACTTTTTTTTTTCTGGTTGCGAGGGTGTGGTCATATCCAGCGATGCTCAGGGGCTACTTGTGGCTCTGCACTCAGGAATTACTCGTGTAGCTGCTCAGGGAACCCCGTGGGGTGCTGTTGCTGTGGAAAGGCTACATGTGGCTTCCGCCCAAGTGTTCCCCATTGTGGCTCTTGGCCAGAGCCAGTGCTAACCATGGAGTGGTTGAATGAAACATCAGGGTGCTTGTCTTGCAGATAGCTGGTGTCTTCAGCAACATGAGCTTCACTGGGGTGGCCTTGGAGGACCCCAATAACTCAGGGCTCCAGCAGTACCACATTGTCACACACTTGCACTGGATCATGCTGGGGTAGCCCATATGCCCTGAGAACAGAAGGGGAGCCTGCGCCCTCTCCCCCACAAAAATAAGAGAAACCAGAACAAGGATCCTTTGAGGGAGACCCTAGCCCTCACTTCTGTCTGCAGTTCCCTGGCCAGAGCCGCTCAGGGGAGCCCAGGGAGCCCCAGGACTGTGACTGCTGATGACCTGATGTGTGGTCTGGCCTGGACACAGGTGGCCATTGACTCCCTTTGTACGTGGAGCCCAAGGGACCTGCTTCAGTGCTCAGGACACTGGAGGTGCGGGGGGATCTGGCCCAGAGAGGCTGAGTCTTCAGTGCCATCTGGGCTAGGATGAGGGAGTGAGGAGGTGGCTCTGGTAACCCACCCGCTCACACCAAGAAGGGGGCGGCACCTGTGCCTGTCCAGAAGCTGCTTGGAAGGCCTGGAGGGTGGCTAGTGGCTCCTCCCTTGGTTGTCCCCCCCCGTCCCCTAGTTCTGACCCCTCCCCACATTGTCCACATGTTGTTGGCAAGGGCGCAAAGAATAGAAGTCAGTCATTTACACGCTAGTATGATTCATTCTCCAACTCTCTTGGTTTTTTGTTTGTATGGGGCCCACACCTGGCTGTGCTCAGGGTTTATTACTGGCTCTGTGCCCAGGGAGCAGTCCTGGTGGGACCATATGGGGTATTGGGTATCAGATGTAGTCATCCCCATGCCGAGTAAGTGGTTTTTTGGCTGGGCTGTCACCCTACTATCACTCGAGCACTGCGTTCTTTTTTTTTGGAGGGGGTGAGTGCCACATCTGGCGGTGCTCAGGGATTACTTCTGGCTCCACACTCAGAAATCGCTCTTGGTGATGCTCAAGGGGATCCTATGGGATGCTGGGGGTAGAACCTGGGTCAGCCACATGCAAGACCAATGCGCTCCCGCGCTGCTACCTCTCCAGCCCCCGCTGGGAGTTATTGGTCATGCTCAGGGGACCACAAGTGATTTGAGGATCAAATCAGCCGGCGGTGCCTTTTCTCCAGCGCCCGGATTGTGAGTGAGATGCAACTTTGTGGCACCGGTCCCCTCCTTGCTTCCCAGCTTCTCATCCTCGGCGCCCCCTAAAGCAGTCACGGCGCGTGCTTTGCAGCTTTATTCAGGGAGGAGACGGGGGAAATAATTGAACAAACCTAAATTCTTTCTTGAGTAGCCAGCCAGGAGAGGGGCGAGCCCCTGGACCGTGGGGTGGGATGTCCGGGCTCGTGGAGCGGACGCCGGGCGCCCCCTAGTGGCCGCTGCCGCTGCCGCTGCCGCTGCCCGCGGGGTCCAAGATCCAGGCTGGAGCGCGGCGGCGGCGGGAGCTCCCGAGGCTGCTTCCCCGCACCTTCAGTTGTCTGTGCCGGGACGACGCCGGACTGGAGAACTTGAGACATCGCTGGGAACCGGGAGGTGCCATCGGAGGGTCGTAACCCAACACCGAGAGGCAAAGGTCGGCCCCGTTAGCGAATTTCTGGGGAAAAGGGGCGGGGTTGTGTTGAAGTGGGAGTAGCCCTGGTGCCCAGAGCGTGGCCGTCGGAAAAGAGGGGTGGCGCGTGGAAATGGGGTCGGGGCCGTAGTGAACGCGAAGACGGGGTACCAGTGTGTGTGTGGGGGGGGGGCAGGAGCATTTTATGTTTTAACAGGGGAGGATTTGGTCCACACTGGCGGCGCTCAGGGATGGCTCCTGGCTAGGATGGAGAAATGCATGGACGGATTCTGCGTGGGTCCAGGAAGGAAGCCCGATTGGGCCGCGTTCAGGGCAACTGCCTCCCTCCCCCCCTGCCCCCCCCCCCCCCGGCGCTGGACTATCTGTCCAGCCCCATTTTATTTTCCAGTCTTTACTTTTTGACATGTTACAATGACAAAACAATGCTGAGTGGGTCCCCCAGGGGTCTTCGGCGAGGAAGGGTGAGTTGACACAGTCCCTTGGGGCGGTTTAAGTTGGGGCTCTTTAGTAGCTCAGGGGCTGAGAGCTGTGACCCTCTCTGGGGTCGGGCTAAGAAGAGGGAAGAGTAGAAGCTGCGGGCCGCAGCCAGAGCGCTGAAAGAGCAAGTCTCACCGCCCACCCGTGCCTCTGTGCCTGGCCCACCTGCCCGGCGGTAGTGCAGCCAAGTGCGCAGAGCCTCCTCTCTAGGACAGGGAGCCACGCGGGGCTGCAGGGGACATCATTCTCACAGGAAGCAAGCCTGAAGGGCGGGGTAAGGAAGAGGAGCAAAAGGTGTTCCAGCCCTCCAGGGCCCGCCTGGTAGTGGCCACGCCCCTGCAAACACCACCCGGAGAGACCCTACCCCAGGGGTGTCTGGCATTTCCCGCCTTCTGATCGCTTGTCAGTGAAGAGACCACGCCCCATAAAAAGACCACATTTCCGTGGGAGCGATAGTACAGCAGGCAGGGCATTTGCCTTACATGCCACCAGCACCTCCATAGGGTCCCCCGAGCGCTCCAGGGTGTGTCCCGCCACCCCCTAAATAAAATCTACACGGGAGGTCAGGAGCCTCTACAGAAGACTTGACACGCCCCCTTACGCAGACAATTAATGGCCACGCCCCCCCTATGCGGATCAATCGGTGACCACGCCCACTCTCGCCAGTTCCGCTCCTCTTACCAGTCCTCGCAATCTGCCGCACACAGAGTCTGCATCTGAGGGACCTCGGTGCCCAAGAGTAGCATGTTGAGGCGACTGCGGTTGGCTAATTGGAGGCGATCCAGGAACTTTTTGCACCTGGACATCCGGAGAGACAGTGGAATGGGACCCTCTGGTCTGGAAGCTCTGGGTCTGGGGAAAGGGATTATTGGAGCAAAGGACTGGAGGGCCGGTCCAGGTTGGGGCAGGGAGTGCTCACCTGGGGCTCGCCGGCTTGCATGGGGGTGGGAGGAGCCCCGTGTCGGGTTCCTGTACCATGCCCACGTCCACTGGGTAACAGGTGAAGGAGACGCCTGTGAGCTGAGGGCTCAGCCGTCCAGGCCGGGGTGAGGGTGGGGGAGAAGACAGGATGTTGGCCTGAGCATGCACCCTAATCACGTTTGTCCTCCCAAAGGTAAACTCTGAAGACACTTGCAAACCAAGTGCAGCTTCCCCTGCTGATAATCGCCACCTTAAGCAGCTTATTTCCCCTGGTCCGCAACTCTGCACATATCTCTCAGAAGCAGGATGTTAGGGATCCCTCTTTGCAGTGCCCCTCCCCCCCGCAGCCCAGCGTACTTAGTGTCCGCCAGGCCAAATGGCTCCCAAGAGGTCAGCTTAGGGTTGGCACCTGGGCCATCTCTCAAGGATCTCTCTGACTCGCTCTTCTACAGTGCCAGCCAACCAGCTCATTCACTTCCACGCCTGCAGCTCCCCGCAGCCCCTCTTAGTTAGAAATTCCTGTACTGGGTGGAGGAGTTTGGCCCCAGCACCAGCTGTGCACCTGTCGTGTTTGGCTGGCTCAGGCCCAGCTTGGCCTCTGGTCCATGGCGTTCCTGGGACTCAGCCGGGAGCGGGTGGCTCAGTGCACGGGCCCCCAGGAGAATCCACAGAGTCAGTCGGAGGGTCCAGATCGGGCACCCAGGTGAGGCGTGGCTGCCGCAGACCATGTTTGCCTGAGACAAGAGTCAGCTGGGGCAAGAGATAGGGCATTGCGGAGGGCGCTGACCTTGCATGCATCCTACGTGGTCCCCTGAGCCCCACCAGGAGCGATCCCTGAGCGCCATTGGGTGTGCTTCCCCCTTAAAAAAATGGCTGGGCAATGGGGTGAGGTTGGACCCCTTGTATGGGAGCTCAGGATCCCCCTGACATGTTCAGTCAGGAGACAGTAACAGACAGGCAGAGATGGGAAGCTGATGGGCAAACAATAGCTAAAAGACTCTTCAAATCCTAGGGGACCCCAAAACCTGCTTCTGACCCCCAGTCACTTCTGCCACAAGCACTCGCTGGGTTTAACGGTGATCCCTTTCCCCACCAGGCCAGACCCGCAGTTCCTCTCTCCCTCCTCGGTCCACCTGGCCCGTGTCCTGGTCACCTTCCCAGACCCAAATCGGCTTAAGGCTGCCAGTCAGGGTGAGCCTCTTGGAACCAATCTTGGTGAACCAGAATAATTCAGGGTCCGTGGTTGGGGTCCCCAAACCCCAAGGTAGGTGAAACTTTGGGGTGAGCCCCCGGAAGTAAGACACTTTCTCCACCATTCCCTCCCCGGCTGGCCTCACCTGTTAGCTGGGCTGGAGTCTCCGGTGCTGTGGATTCCAGCAGGGACAGCCAGAAGCCAGTGACAGCAGAAAGGGGCGTGGCTCGCCGGTGGGGAGGAGTTTGCATCGCCCCGCCTCGTCAGCTGGCCAAAGCCCCGCCCCCAACCTGGAGCTGGTGTGTCTATATTCTTTTGACTGAGTTTTTGCTGGAAATTTTGTAACTTAAGTTTTATATGTGCATGTGTGGTGTGTGTGTGTGTGTGTGTCTGTGTGTGTGTGTGTGTCTGTGTGTGTAGGCAGAGATGAGGGGGTATTTGTATTGCTGTATTGGGTGCGTAGATGTGTGTTTGTTTTGTGAAGGTGTGTTTGTGTCTCTGGATTGTGTGCTTAGAATCTGGGGGCGAATACTCAGTCCTGTGGCACTCACCACGCGTGTGAAACACAAAAAGATAAAAGAATAGGGGCTGGAAGATCAGTAGGCCAATGGGGAGAGTGTTTACCTTGCATGCGGCTGGCCAACACAGACTCCATCCTTGGCAGCCCATAGGGTACCTCGAGCTAATTTCTGAATGCAGAACCAGGAGTAATTCCTGAGCATCGCCCGATGTGATCCACCCCCCCCCCCAAATTTGTGCAGTTGATTAGAGTCAGATAACACATGGTGGGTAGGGGGCTTAAGATCAGGGTGGGTGCCTGTAAAACTACTGTGAATTGTCTATGGGTTGAAGTCGTGCACCAGGAATGTTGGTTGAGGGGTTGCCAGGTATTTGGTGGGTCTGCGTCTCCATCTAAAGCATCTGTGGGTTGTCCCTTTGCAACTTTGGTGGATGTGTGCCCCTCACAAGCATTCTTTCAGATTATTCATTCAATAAAGAAATATTTATTATGTATCTGCTGTGTGCTAGGATCCAGGCATGAAGGGGATCTGAAGATATCAACCTTCATCCAAGCTGAAGTTTTAGTAGAGGAGTCTGATGTGAAAAATAGCTCATCAGTGTGCATGTGTGTGTGTGTGTGTGTGTGTGTGTGTGTGTGTGTGTGTCTGTGTCTGTGTCTGTGTCTGTGTCCGTGTGTGTTTTCTGGTGTCGCAGGGAAAATGTACCGATGTTGGATGACAGTTATTTCCTGTGTGTGTGTATCTGAGCTTCCCTTGTGTGGGGGACAGTGTGTGTGTGTGCTTGTGTTTGTGAGGTGTTTGTATTATTTGTGTGTGCATCTACGGAGCATGTGTGTATCTGTGTATGCATGGTAAGTATGTTTGCGGTATAAACTTACATGTACATGTCTCTGTGTTCTGAGTTAGTGTTTGCAGAGAACCATGTGTGCTGAGTGCATATTTGCAAATGTTTACTTGTGTGTGTGTGTGCCTGCTGAGTATTTGCACGTGTGCATATCTCTGCATGGCAGAATGTGTTTATGATGTGTGTGACGCCTGCCTTGGAGAACCTGCACCCCAATGTGGTTGGTGCTGAGGTCAGGTGTTATAGAAAGGTCTGCCATGCTGGGAGTTGAACCCAGCGCCTTGCACAGCCGAAGCGTGTGCTCCACCCTGAAGCCACAGCCCTGCTCTTGTAAATGTGCTCTTGTGATTCTTGGCCACGTGTACAAATTTCCCCCACCCCCTTCTCGGGCTAATGAAAGGTTTGAATTCGTTTCTCTCACTGCTGTATCCCCAGATCCCAAAATAATGCTTTAGGCAAGCAGGTCCTCCATAGGTGTGAGGAGTGAGTCAGGAGTCAGGAACGGGCACCCATGGGTGTCTGGGGCTTCAGCCACCAAGATCTCTCGGTCCTATTTCCTCCAGCCCACTTTGGGCTCTCCCAGGGTGCTCGCGGTTCAGAACTGAGCAGCTTCTGGCCTCTGCCTCTCTCCACGCCCCCCAGTGCTGCACCCCGCCCCAGGCTCCCCAACGCTCTCCTCTTTCAGCACCGCGGACAGGGACGCGCTGTCAGCACCACGGACAGCTGATGGCGTGGAGGCCGGCGAGGAAGCGCGGAACCTGGGTTTGGGAAGAAGGCCTAGGAGCCGACTGAGGGACTTGGCGACACAAACAAGCTGACAGTAGGAGGGGGCGGGGGGAATCGAGAACTCGGGCAAAGGAGGAGGCGAGGGTCCCAGGAGACACAAGGACCTGTCCTCGCTGTAGCCGCCGATGGCCAGCAGGGGTCGCACCTCCCCACTGACCCTGATCTTCACAGCCTTGGGACCAGGGTGCGGGGAGAGCTCCGTCACGGCCAACCCCAAGCCTGGAGTCCTAGTGGGGAGATTCCCAACGCTTTCTGCTCCTGCTCTGGGAAGCTTGGATGGTGTGGCCTCAGCTTACAGGAACACTGCGGACTGGGATGAGGGTAAAGATGTTTTCCGCTGTTCCCCTCCCCACTAGAACTGGCTAATCGCTCCTATAAATACAAGCCCAGCCTAAGCTGGCACCTTAATTCCAAAGCTAAAGGAAAGGGTCTCTGGGGCGCTGTAGGGGTCCCCGAAGATGTTTAGCTTGGGGGTCTACGCCTGCAAATGTCTCCTAAGGGGACGTCACTCCGCAGAGCAAGGTGTCCCCAGGGCAGATGTCGCTGCCAGGCTGTGTGTCCTCCTGGGTGGTTCCTCCCCCAGGTTATGACTTTTTTAGGGAAGACCACTTTTAACCTACCTCACCGGACTCACTCCCCAAATTGTGGCTGTTGGAAATGGGTCCCCCAGAGTGGGGGTCGCTGCAGAGGGAAAAATCTCTGTGAGGACGCATTTCTTGTGGTTGGGAGGGGGGCGTTTCTTGAGTTGGGGGGGCCTGCCCCTGAGCCCTCTGATGTCTCCTAAGTGGGGGCGTCTCTGGGCAGCTTGGCTCCTCCAGGCCCCCGCTGGCCCCTCACCCCAGCGCGGGCGGCCTTGGCCGTGGCCGGGCTCGGGCGCCCAGACGCTGTGACGGCGCCAGGCCCGCCCCGCTTCGCTCCGCCCCCGCCAGCCCCCACCCCCCCCAGCCGCCGCCGCCACCGCCGCCGCGGTGCCCGCGGCTTCTCCCTCCCTGCACCCTCTCTGCACCCTCCCTGCACCCTCCCGCCGCCTCCCTCCTCCCTCCCCCGGGCCGGAGCCGCGGCGGCCGCCGCCGCCATGGACGATTCGGGCCTGATCCGCCGCCGGAGGCTGCAGGTACGCGGTGGCGCCGGGGAAAGGGGGTCGGCACCCCCGGGGCGGGGCCCTGCAGGGGGCGGGAGAACTTGCGCCAGGGCGGGCCCGGGCGCCCCCTCCGGTGGCCGCGGGACGCTCCCCGCGGGAAGCGCGGTGGCCGAGCGTCCGCCCCACGCCGGGGACCCCGCCCCTCCGGCGCCGCCCGGGGGATCCGGGCAGCTGGTGGAGGGGGCGCGGACTGGCGCTCCCGCTCGAGGGCAGCCGGAGGGGCGCCCGGCTCCCCCGAGGGGTGGGGGCAGGGGCCCCTAAGTCATCGCCCTGGCGCCCCGCCAGCCCGGGGGTGCTGGAGGGGGGCGCGCGGAGCAAAGTTATTGCCCCCAGGGCTCGCGCCCCTCGGGGCCACGCCGCGGCAGCTGTAAACATGTTTGCGCGGCAGCCTCGCCAACGCCAGTAGCCCCCGATTGAAGCTCAGAAACACTGCCCCCCAATGACCTCTAGTGTCTGCCGGCCACCAGGACATTCCCTACTGCCCTCATTGGACGGGCACCCGGACCGCCGGCTCACACTTCACCCCACCCGCTTCCACTACTACCGTCCCTCCCTGCTCACTCTCAAGTCCAGCCCAGCGTGGAGGCTGGTCCTCGGGCCGCGCAGGCGCGCAGACACTGTGGGTCCATTGCCCGGAGTGGGATACTGAGGTTGGCAGTGGAGGGTCCGGAAGACCAGGACAAAGGCAGGCACGCAGGTACCCCACTCTGAGGCAGATATGGAGTCTCTGCCTGGCTTCAAGGGATTAAAATGGGAGTCTGGTGTTACCCCCATCAGAGACCCAGTGGGAAGATGGATTAAAGTTTCACCCCAAGGCCAGCCTGGGGTTGGGTTTGACCAAAGCTCCTTGCAGCCATGCTCCTTCCCCCACGAGGTAATCCTGAGTTTCCAGAAAGCCTAGTGAAATCAGAATCAGGTTCTACCACACTGGCAACGGGGGCGAACCACGAACCCTCCCCCCATTTGTGAATTCCTGTACCCCACCCTCCTTGAGACTGGAGACTGGAGGGAACAGAAACAATGGGGGCAGGGGGCAGGAAGGTCTTCCCAGCATCTCCGCGACGCTTGGGAGTCTGGTCGGGGCTCGGTAACCCCTTTCCTTGCATCCAGAGCCTCCATGGCCTCATCTCGGTGCTTTGACCGCTTTGGGTCCTTCTCAGGTCCCCTGCGGATCCCAGGTCCGCCTTAAGCGATTTGGTTCCGAGGAAAAGGGAGGGAGCTGCGGCAGAGCCAGAGCCAATGCCGAAACAGCCAGACTCCGGCCGCACCGTCGGTTCCCCCGCAGCAGAGCGGAAGGGGGCGTGGTCTGCATGTGATGTGTCCCCGCCTTCTCGGACGGCGCCGGTTCCCATTGGCTCAGAGCCACGCGGGACCTGCGATCTTGGGTGCAAGACCCCGCCCCCAGCCCGGGAATCCTCTCACTAGCCCTGCCATCCTTCGGAGGCGGCCTGGAGGCGGCCTGGATTCGGTCTGTCGCTCTGGAGGGCGGCGACTGTCCTCCCAGGAATCCTTCCCCGACCCTTTCCTTGATGGATCAATTTAACCATTTCGCTGCCTGGTGACACTCTCGCACAGCGGCGCCACCCTTGAGACTGTCTAGCAGCTGCAGTGCGCCTGCCCGCAGGGCGTGGGGTGTGTGTGTGTGTGTGTGTGTGTGTGTGTGTCTTTTGAGATCATCTATTTGGGCCGTTTTTTGGGTTCAGATGCCTTGTCTGAAGCGCTGTCCCTGAGTCCCAGGGAGAAGCAGAGTTCACTGGGTACAAAGACTTTGCCACTGGGGCTGACTGGCAGCGTGGTGTCCTCTACAGTGACGTGAGGATACGAATCCGCTTTCACCACAGTTTGCCCCATTTGCTCTAGAATTGTTCAGGATCATTAGTGAATGTGATGAGGTTCTGTCCTTCTCTAAGTGGTGCTTCAAAGACCTTAGGGGCTCACTCTCCTTATCTCACCCAACCCCCGACCTGTGTCAGTAGTGCCTTACCCTGTGGCAGGAAAGTCCAGATCTTACTTTAGCTTGAGCCATTGGGGTCACTGGCCCAAGCAGTGGCACACGACAAGCTGACTGTGCAGAGCAGGCAAAGCCTGGTCTGGATCTTCCATCACCCCAGATCAGAGGGAAGGTTACTACTTGCTGAGCTTGAAACTGTGCCCTTTGACCCCAACCTTGCTTCCCTTCTGAGTGTGGGAGTGGGATGCCCCCTTGTTCCTGAGAGTCCCCCCACCTGACATGCATGAGCACTGACTATATGCTAGGCACCAGGGTTTGAGGCCAAATACCTGGATCGTCTCTCAGGATGCTCTGGGAGGGAGGATTCTGGAAGGTCATTGCCCAAGGTCATCAGAAGCCAGAGATTTGAACGCTGGGCTTCCTGCTGTCAGACAACATGGGAAGACACTAGGCCATTTCCGCATCCCGCTGGCCAGTCTTTAGGTCAGCCAATGAACCCAGGTGAATGGCAGAGGGATCCTACTCCCTGGCTTTCCTGGGAAAAGAACCCCTAAGGGTTTTGTGGATTCTATGCTTTTTATGGGTCCTATTTTATGGTTCTATGACAAGCAGGATAAGACCTTCTGAGTGGGCTTATACAATTAACACTTCAATGGGTGGCATTTTTGAGAAAGACCAGCTGACCACCACATGACTTGCCTTTCTGATTTCTGCTTTGAACCACCTGAACTATGCTCACCTCAATTCAGTGGGTTTGTCTGGGAGTAGGGGAGAGCCTTTAGGATCTGGAGGAGGCATTCATTCATCCTTTCAAGCCAAACTCATCCCAGCGCCCAGGTCTTTGCAGTTTGGCGTCAGTGTTTGTGTGTTGGCCTCGCTTGTGGACTCAGGTCTCAGCACCCTGCTTAAAAGTGCCCTCCCACCTGGCCGTCCTGTTCCCTCCTCACCATTTAGTCCCATCTCATCCTCTTGTGTAATTTTATCCATCACGTGTTACTGTGTAAACCGATTGTGCACGAGTCCAGAGCCATAGTAGAGCGGGGAGGGCCCTAGCCTTGCATGAGACCAAGCCAGGTTCGATCCCCAGCATCCCAGGAGTGATCCCTGAGCATGGAGTCGGGAGTAAGCACTGAGTACAGTCACCCCAAAACACAGCCAGCAAATGCTTCCACTCCCTGCTACAAGACACTAGGCTGTCCTCTGCCTCTCCTCTAAATGCTGGTATCCAGAGAGCAGAAATTTTTATTTCATTAAGTGCATGTCCACGGTACCTAACCCAGGTACTTGGCAAACAGCAGGTGCTCAGAGCACTTTTCTGAATAAGAGGTTCTTGGCTCCTTGGCACAGGCGTGCGCATGCTGGACACTCGGGACTCCTGCGTGGGAGTCCAGCACCCACAGGACACCCTGTGCTGGTGGGGTGGGTGACCGGCATGGTATCCTCGGCCCCCGCACTCGCCTCAGGGAGCCCAACTCTCAGGGCCTGGCCGCGGGGAGCAGCTGATGAGGGCTCTGGCTCCCTCCTCTTCTACACGTTGAGAGGATTGTTTATGGAGGTCGCTTGGTGCAGGCTGACCTCTACTCTTTCATGCCTCTGTCTTACAGAAGGATTTGCCCCTGCCCCGGAAAAGCAGCAGGTGAGCCTTGGGGAGCGAGGCGCAGAGTAACCACCCCTTCCCCGGCCGGGGTGGGGGCGCCTGGCGCGCGCGGGTGCAGCAGCGCCCCCTCCCGGCGGGCGGCGGCCGCAGCGCCCTCCCCTCCCCCGCCCCCTGCCCGCTGCGGCTCGAGCCTCCGCCCCGCGCGCTCGTCTCCGCGCCGCCGCCGCCGCTGCTGCACCTGCCACCATGTCGCCGCCGCCGGGTCATGTCTGACTCTCTCTGGACTGCGCTTTCTAATTTCTCGATGCCCTCCTTCCCTGGCGGCAGTATGTTCCGCCGCACCAAGAGGTAGAACCCCTTACCCACCCCCCATCCCTCTGCTCCGGCGCTCCCTGCTCCAAGCCGCCCCTCCGGCCGCTGCCGCAGGGCGGGGCCGGGGATGCTGCATCCCGTCCAGAGGCGCCAGAGGTGCCCCCGTGCTGCCCCTTCCTGCCAGGGATGGGGCTAAGTGGGGGGCAATGTGGGCCAGGTCTGGGGGGGAACTGCACGCCGGGAAGGACCACCGCGGGGCAGGGGGAAGGCTATGCCGGGTGGGAGGGGGGGGCGGTGTCTTTGTCTGCTGCCTGTGGGCTCTGGTCGTCCAGTGGGGGGAGGGAAAGAAAGGGAGGTTGGGGGCTTGGCACCCTCAGAACAATAGCCGCAGCCTGCTCCCCCCCATGCCGCGTGCACCTGACCACGCTAACACATTGTCACTTCGGCGGTGTGTCTGTGTCTGTGTGTGTCTGTGTCTGTGTGTGTATGATCAAGGGGGGGACTTGGAAGCAGGGATCCTAGGGTTTTGGGGGGCTTTTGTCATTGCACCAGCTCCCCCCACCCCCCACCAAGGACAGAGGCTCATATGGAAAATACTGCCACACAGCGCCACACAGGACATGATGTCACACACATACCAGCCCTAATGGCCCAGATACAACGGCTGGCACTACCCGTGCCCAGCTACATGGGTGCCACAGAGCAGAGGCACGGTGGTGACACAGGGCACCTGCAGAGTGACAGACACACAAACCCGCAGAGCCATGTATCATACACATGCCAACATGCACTGACACAGACACACATGAGTGGCCGGAATAAACCTGCAACCAACAACATCACCACACATGGGTGGGATCACCTTCTTAGGTCACAGGGTGCCACACGGAGGCTAGATAAAGACACAGGATCTTTTTTTTTGGGCGGGGGAGAGTTGAGGGCCACACCCTGCAGTTCTCAGGGCTTACTCCTGGCTCTACACTCAGGAATTAGTCCTGGCGGTGTTCAGGGGACAATATAAGATTCCAGGGACTGAACCCAGATTGGGTACATGCAAGGCAAATGTCCTCCCTGCTGCACTGTTGCTCTCACACAATCTTGCAGTGATGGAGGGACACACCACATCACATGTTATGATATGCAGCAGGCATGCACAGACATACCCCACGTCACAGGGTGTTAAACAGCATATGGTGGCTGCCACACATGGACACACACACTGCATGTGACACAGACATAGGGACAGAAGCTCACCCGACTCCAAATGCTGCTGCAGACCCACACACAGCATCGTGGGAGCCCTGCCTCACACATATGCTTTGGCACCCTGCAGCATGTCTCATCACTGACAAGTGATGTGGACAGTTAGACACATACAGCTGTGGACTGCATCACACAGATCAAACAGGCGAGCCTCATGCTGTGATGCGCGGGGTGCTGGACTCACACCTGTAAATGTCCCTCATAGGCACAAAGGCACAGACACCTCCAGCAGTGACAGTCCCCCGCTGATCATGGTCAGATCACGCAGGGTCCCCATGGAGCATTCTGTGCATGTGTCACTGGAAAATCCCCTCTCAGAAACGGCCTTGCTGAGGACTCCATTGCCTCCTCTTTCCGGCAGCCCTCCTGGGGGCACCTCCAAGGATACGAATGGGAGATAGGTCGGGATCTGAGAAGCGGGGGCAGCTAGTCAGTCTCACAAGCTCCCTGGGTGGCTGTCTGGCCCGGCCCCCTTGCCTGCCTTTCCCACAGCTGCCGTACCAGTAACCGGAAGAGCCTCATTCTGACCAGCACTTCGCCCACGCTGCCACGACCCCATTCTCCACTACCAGGCCACCTGGGTGAGGATGATGAACAACGGGAGGAGGCGGGGCCACAGTGGGGGCGGGGCATACACTGGGCAGAGCTGTGTCCGATTGGACAGAGGGCGGGGCCGTCTGTAAGGGGGCGGAGTTAACCTGCGGAGGGCTGGGCATTGATAGGTGGAGGCCTGGACCAGGCCAGATGGAAAGGGGGCGGAGCGGAAAGGAGGAGGGGCGGGGCTATCCCGAATGATGGGGGCAGTAGCCCAGTGGGGCGGTGCCAGCTCGAATAGGCCACATGCTTGGAGATCAGATGGCCTCCCACTCCAGACCTAAAGATCCCCTTTTTCTGCCACAGGTAGCAGTCCCCTGGACAGCCCCCGAAACTTCTCTCCAAACACCCCCGCCCACTTCTCGTTTGCTTCCTCCCGAAGGTGAGTCCGGCTCCCCAGGGCCCCAGAACCCTAGCCGGACCTTCCCCACCCACCGTCTGGGTCTCCATCTGTTCCCTTTCTAATTGCACCCGAGGCCTACGCAGGGAGTAGGGCAGAGCCCCAAGGTCCCAACGGGGACCAGCAGCCTTGCCGTAGGGGCGGGGCCTGTGGGAGGGCAGGACCAACCCCCGGGCAGCGCAAACGCGCCTGCGCGCTGGGCGCTGGTCTTAGTCTCCAGAGCCTCGTGCTCCAGGCCAGGCGTTTCCATAGCAACAGGACAGGGGGGCGCAGAGATGAGGTGCGCACGCGCAGGCAGCTCATTTGCCCACCGAGGGACTCTTGGTCCCTGATGTGGTGGGAGGAGGGATCTCAGGGCCCCAAAGGAAGAATCTCAGGTTTCCCAGCTGGGGTCTCTTTGGGTTTCTGGAGTTTCTCTCAATGTCTGTTCCCGGATCGTTGATGAAAACGGTTTGGAGAAAACTTCTAGGTGCCGTTTAGGTGTTTGGGGGACATCAGAGAATGCACCTGGTTGCAGAGCCTGATGAAACCCCAGGGGTTCTTTTTGGAGGCTGGTTCTTTTGGTACGGGGGTTAGGGGAGAGGATCCCTCAGTTTTGAAATTAAGCTGCTGGCATCAGGGAGCCGAGTGGTCTGCCTGGTGGGCCATATGTGGAGGGTGTGCCTAGGTTGGATGGGGCCTGCCTGTTGGGGGGATCCAGGGAGGGAGGTCTGTGTTTGTCTTCAGGGCATGCCTCCGTGTGCGTGAATGTGTGTGTACATGCATGCATGTGTGCATGTGCGTGTGTGTGCATCTCCTAAGGTAGCAGGTGTGTACAGATGAGTGAGCAAATGGTGTGGGAGAGTGAATGAGTGTGTTAGCGCATATCAGCCTTTTGGAAGTGTCTGTGCAAAGGTGGAAATGTGTGTGTGTGTGTGTGTGTGTGTGTGAGAGAGAGAGAGACAGAGACAGAGACAGAGAGAGAGAGCGAGTCAACCTTTGCTGAGGAGGTTTTTCCTCTGAGAGCTTTAGTGCTTTGTTCTTTGGTATCTGGGGCTTCTCCCCACTCTGTGCTCAGGGGACCACACAGCACTGGGGACCAAGCCCACACACTCCAGACCTTTCACCATCTCCCCAACCCCCAGATCTTATGAATGGCAGGTAGGGGTTGCCTTTTGGGGTTCCACCAAAATGTCTTTCATGGTCTAAGGGGCATTGCTGACCCTCCAGGCCCACTCCAAGGATGACAGCAGACTCCTCATGGGAGGGGCCTCCCAGTCTCTGGTTCTCCAGAAGTTTCTATCTGCCTTATTCTGAGGCTTCTGGGAATCTCTGAGCATAGACCTATCCTAACCCCACCCCATCCCCACCTGCAAGGCCAGGAGCTCTTCCCAGCGCCCAACAGGTGGGGGCATGGTGTGGGAGTCTGCTGGCCTCTGACCACATTTGACTCCTGGGGCTGGGTTCCAGGGCGGATGGACGCCGCTGGTCGCTGGCTTCACTGCCTTCCTCCGGCTATGGCACCAACACGCCCAGCTCCACGGTCTCGGTGAGTGTGACTGGTGGGGGCCCCCCTCCCCAACACATGCTTGTGTGCACCAACAGATGTCCCATGGGCCCCACTCGCCAATGGTGACTCCTTATAGTTCACTGATTTGGGGTGGGGTCGTACCTGGCCATGCTCATGGTTTGATTCCTGGGCACAGAGTTGCCCTGAACAACACCGGGTGTCCCCACTAAAGAAAGAAACAGTAGGGGATGGAGTGATAGCACAGGGGGTAGGGCATTTGCCTTGCACGCAGCCAACCCGGGTTCGATTCCCAACATCCCATATGGTCCCCCAAGCACTGCCTGGAGTAGTTCCTGAGTGCATGAGTCAGAAGTAATCCCTGTGCATCGCCAGGTGTGACTCAAAAAGCAAAAAAAATTTAAAAAAATAAAAGAAATAAAAGAAAGAAAGAAACGGTAGTTCAATAATGGTTGCTCAGAGGGGTCTTGAGGAGCAGGGTCCTAAACAACAAAGAAGTGCACCCAGAGGAGTGATCTAGAGGGAGTGTGCTGAGCCGAGAACAGACTGTGCAAAGGCCCTGAGGCACAGACAGGCCTGGATTATTCCATGCCTTCCAAGAGCCTGTTTCAGGGAGGGGGAGAAGGTAAGGAGGCGAAGAGCCCGGATTCTCATAACCCCTGTGGGCTGCAGGGAGACAGTCCACCACTAACCCAGGTGGGGGCTCCCTCTGGCACCTCCGAGATTGTCCAAGCTTTGCCAACACCCCTGGGGCCCGTCCCTCTGTGTCCTGTCCCTCTGTTGGGGGCCTCGGATCACCTGTCCTGTGAGTCACCAGTCCCGGGGGCCCTGACATCGGCTGTGCGGCTCTCCCCTCCGCCCCGCAGTCCTCCTGCTCGTCCCAAGAGCGCCTGCACCAGCTGCCCTACCAGCCCACTGTGGACGAGCTGCACTTCCTCTCCAAGCATTTCGGCAGCACCGAGAGCATCACGGACGAGGATGGGGGCCGCCGCTCCCCGGCCGTGCGGCCGCGCTCCCGGAGTCTCAGGTGGGCGGCGCGTCCTGCCCAGACGTTGGTCCCTCGCGGGTCCACCGAGCAGGGCCGGCGCAGTAACTGAGACTGCCGGGCTTGCTGTCCCCGCAGCCCCGGGCGTTCACCCTCCTCCTACGACAACGAGATCGTGATGATGAACCACGTGTACAAGGAGCGGTTCCCCAAGGTGAGGGGGGGAGCACAACGGTGGGTGTCCGGAGCCCCCCTCTCCCTCGCTCCGACCGCCCTTCCCCACCCGCTCCGGACCCGGGGCTCGCCTGAGCGCCGCGCGCCCCCTGGCGGTCCCCGCGCACAGCGCAGCCCAGAGCAGCGGCCGACCCTCGCCTTGGTGGTCTCCGCTCCGCAGGCCACCGCGCAGATGGAGGAGAAACTACGTGACTTCGCCCGAGCCTATGAGCCGGACAGCGTGCTGCCGCTGGCCGACGGCGTGCTCAGCTTCATCCACCACCAGATCATCGAGCTGGCTCGCGACTGCCTCGCCAAGTCCCGCGACGGTCTCATCACCACCGTCTACTTCTACGAGCTGCAGGAGAACCTGGAAAAGCTGCTGCAGGATGTGGGTGGCGCAGGGCCCCCTCTCAGCCTCCGCACCCCCGAATCCGCACATGCATGGAGGGAGGGGAGGACGGACACAGGCGTGGTGCTCGCTGGGCCTCCGGAACACGGCCTTACCCCAGCCCTGAGGGTTTCTCTCGGCTGCCACCTTGGGGGAGTGTCACCTTCTAGTGGACTCTCCCAGTCCATCAGGGCTATTCCGGCGCCTTGAGGGGCTGTGATGGGTTGGGCAGAGGCCAGGCGCGTATGACCCCCTCCTACATCCCCCCCATTGTCCCAACCTTAGGCCTATGAACGCTCGGAGAGCCTGGAGGTGGCCTTTGTCACTCAGCTGGTCAAGAAGCTGCTGATCATTATCTCGAGGCCAGCACGGCTGCTGGAGTGCCTGGTGAGGGGGCCGGACGCGGGAGCAGGGCGCAGGGGGTCCCTGGGAGCGCCCCTGAGCCTGGCCATGTGCCGCCTCAGGAATTCAACCCCGAGGAGTTTTACCACCTGCTGGAAGCCGCTGAGGGCCATGCCAAGGAAGGCCACCTGGTGAAGACGGACATTCCCCGCTACATCATCCGCCAGCTGGGCCTTACCCGGGACCCCTTCCCAGGTGCCAGCTAGAAGGGCTACTTTGGGGGTCTGGGTGGGGCAATGCCAGAAACCCAGTCACTCATTCTTGCCCCTTCCTAGATGTGACGCATCTGGAGGAGCAGGACAGCGGTGGCTCCAACACGCCTGAACAGGATGACCTGTCGGAGGTAAGCCAGGTAGCCTTCCTGGAGAGAGCCACACTCCTGCCCTCCGGTCCAGGGATCAGGTGGTTGCCACCCCTGCTTCAGTTTCCCCACCTGTAAAATGGGCTCTTCATAGTCCTTCCCCTAGCTGCCTTGTTCTTTATGTGGTCAAACCGACATAAACTTTAAATGTGGAGCCAGAGAAATAGGACATTGGGAAAGGCCCCCGCTTTGCATACGACCCACTCCAGTTCAATCCCCGGAACCGTATAGGATCTTTAAGCCTGTCAGGAGTGATCCCTGAGCACAGAGCCTGGAGTAAGTTCTGAGCACCACCAGGTATGGCTCCAAATCAGAGAACAACTACCCCCCAAACAGCCACATAAAAGAAGCCATTTGACTATTTAAAATAAACCCTTTGGACAGCGGGGAGGGTGCTTGCTTGCATGCAGCAGACCTGGGTTCCATTCCTGACATCCCATATGACCCTCCATGCATACCAGAAGTAATTCCTGAGTGCAGAGCCAGGAGTCACCCCTGAACATTGCCAGGTATGGCCCCAAAGCATACACAAACACAAACAAACAAAAAAGTATTAAAGCCTTTGGTGGCTGGAGAGACAGTACAGCAGCAGCATGCTTGCCTGCATAAGACCAACCTGGCACCCCCTAGGGTCCCTCAAGCCCTTCCAAAAGTGATCCCTGAGTGCAGAGCCGAGAGTAAGGCCTGAGCACTGCTGGGTGTGACCCCAAAATCAAAAATAAGTAAGTTAACTTAAAAATAGAATGGTCCTCTGGGGGCTGGAGAAAGTGCTCATGGGCTTTGCACACAGGAGGCTCGGGGTCACCCCAATACCATATGGAGCAACCCCTGAGCAATACTGAATGTGGTCACAAAACCAAACCATCACCACCAACAAAAGAACAATTTCCAAAAGAAAAAAGGCAGCCTGGGGCTGGAGCGATAGCACAGCGGGTAGAGCCAACCCGGGTTCGATTCCCAGCATCCCACGTGGTGCCCCGAGTACCGCCAGGAGTAATTAATTCCTGAGTGCAAAGCCAGGAGTACCCTGTGCATCGCCAGGTGTGACCCCAAAAAGCAAAAAAGCAGAAAAACCAAGAACAGGAAAGAAATGGCAGGGTAGGGGTCAGTATATGGCCTGTCCCTGGTCAGCTCCTCCTTGCACCCTCTCATCTGCCAATGAGTCAGAGCTGGACCATTCACACAAAGGGCCTTTCTCAGGGCTGGGAAGGAGGCTGATTGCTCTGAGCAAGGTTGGCATGGGGACTCCTGATCCCATCCCTGGTACCCCATGCCTGAGGTCCCCTGAGCAACACAAGGAGTGACCCCACACTGCTGGGGGGTCATCTCCCACATGGCCTTTGAGGATCTGGCATATTCTTTTTGTTAGAGGGGATCCTCCCCATCAGTGCTCAGCCTACCTGGAGATGCTGGGGGTCCACGCGGTGTGGGGGATCGAACTCTGGACCTCCAAATGCAAAGCATGTGTCCGACCCCCTGAACCTCCCTTTGGTGTCCCAGGAAAAACTGCCTCATCCCTCACCGCGTCTGGGTGCTCCCTCCTTGCTGTTTCCTTTATTCATTGGTGGCTCTGACAGTCGATCCCCGCTCTGGGCCGGGGTGGTCTGAGGGCTGATGGGAACGTTTGTGTCCCTGCATCGCTGAGAATGACAGTGTCTCCCAGGAGGAGAATTGCTGGGTCCCACGATCATGATCGCTGGGACCCGGATGGAGGAAAGCACGGCCGAGTGGGTGGAGCGGCTGTGTGTGTTCACAGCTGACAGAAGCAGCCGCTTGCGCCCCCGCCACCCTCGGGCTGGCAGCTGTCTCCCAGAGCCGCCTGCCTCTGCGGGCACCCCGTGTTTCCTCGCCGCCACGGAGTGTTTAAAATATTTGGAAGTGAAACGGAGCAAGCCCCAGAGGGTGCCTCCCAGTCCTGTGGGGAGCTGCCTGCGGGAACTTCCTGTGTTCTGGCACGAGGGGGCAACCAACTGGTCTGAGCAGGGACAGACACCCAGATCAGAGGGTATCTCCCCACCAGACATTCCTGATCCCCCTCACTCGTCTGCTCCCCAAGGCATTAGATTTTGAAGCCTTTGTTTCCAGTTGTCACCACACACACACAGTGATGGTGGTAGTATGGTGGGAGGTGCCTGCAGGCAGCTGGTCCAAGTTCAGTTCCTGGCATTGCATGGTGCCCTGGGCTCTGCTAAGAGACCCCTGAGTACAGAGCCATTAGTAAGCCCTTTCCACCACCACCTCCACCCAGAAAAAGCCTGTCCCTATACCCTGCATCAGGCTTAACTCCTTGGGTAGGGATGAAATGGCATCAAAGATCTAAAACTGGGGTGGTGGAGGAGAGATTATAGCAAGTAGGGTGATCACCTTGCACATGGTTTTGATTTCCTGCATCCTATATTGTTCCCCAAACACCAACAAGAGTAATTCCTAAGTGTAGAGCAAGGAGTAACCCCTGAGCATCACTGGTTGTATCCCCGCCCCCCCCCCCCCACACACACACATAATCTAAAACTAACAATTGTGAGGCTGGAGAAATAGTGCTTGTCACACACAGGCTGACCTGAGTTCGATGCCCAGAATCTCCTGTGGTTCCCAGAGCACTATCAGGAGTGATCTCTGAGCACAGAGTCAGGAATCATGCTGAGCACTGCCATGCAGTGTCAGGGGAATGGAACTAGGGTCAACTGTGGACAAGGGAAGTGCCTTCCCCAAATGTCTCTCAGGCCCATCCTCTGTTAGCGTCACACTCAAGGACTTGGTCATTTGACAGCAGATCCGGTTGTGGGTTCAAGTCCTGAATTTTCCTCTCAGGGCCTCAGTTTCCCTGTCTGGTAGCAGAATGAACTGAGCTGCTGCTAACGGGAGTGGGGATCTCCCCTAACCCCGTGTCCCCCTTCACCCCTCCCCAGGGCCACAGCACCACCCGCAAGGCAAAAAAGCCCCCAGGAGAGACCGACTTTGACACAATCAAGCTCATCAGCAATGGCGCCTACGGGTGAGCCACCCCGGGCTCTGGCGGGGGAGGGCAGCAGGGGCCGGATGTCTCGGAGGTGACAGCCAGCCCTTGCTCCCTGTCCCCGCAGTGCCGTCTACCTGGTGCGCCACCGCGACACGCGGCAGCGCTTCGCCATGAAGAAGATCAACAAGCAGAACCTGATTCTGCGGAACCAGATCCAGCAGGCGTTCGTGGAGCGCGACATCCTCACCTTCGCCGAGAACCCCTTCGTGGTCAGCATGTTCTGCTCCTTCGAGACGCGCCGCCACCTCTGCATGGTCATGGAGTATGTGGAAGGTGCGTTTGTGCACAGGAGATGGCCGAGCCCCACTCACTGGATTGGTGCCCCCATATTTTCTGGACATCTGGTGTTTATCCACAGGGGTGCAGAGGGGCTAACCTCCCATTCCATCTGCAGACTTAGATCCAGCAATAGATTCTTTTTTTTTTTCTTTTTGGGCCACACCCAGCGATGCTCAGGGGTTACTCCTGGCTCATGCACTCAAAAATTACTCCTGGTGGTGCTCGGGGGACAATATGGGATGCTGGAAATCGAACCTGGGTTGGCCATGTGCAAGGCAAACGCCCTACCTGCTGTGCTATCACTCTAGCCCCATCATTTTTTTAAATTTTATCCAGTGTAGATCGCAGCACCCAATTATCCATCACTTCATCCACCCATTACCATCTACTTATCTGCTCATCCCCTCTCGGAGAGCCCGACAAGCTACCGAGAGTATTCGATATGCCAGACACAGTAACAACAAAGTCTCCAATGGAGACGTTACTGGGCCCGCTCGAGCAAATCGATGATCAACGGGAGGGCCTTTACCTTATCTGCTCATACTCCTATTTGTCAATCCATCTGCTTTTACATCCATCCCCATTGGGCGCCATGCAGGAGGGATCCCTGCGCACAGAGCCAGGAGAAAGCCCTGAGCAGGGCTTGGTGTGGCCCCCAAACAAAGTTACACTGGGTGCAGTGTAACTTGAGAGTCTTTCATGTAAGTGGCCTGGGGCCTCCTTCATGTGGGTCTGTCCTGTGGCCTGCAGGGGGAGACTGTGCCACACTGCTAAAGAACATCGGGGCACTTCCCGTGGAGATGGCGCGCCTGTACTTTGCCGAGACAGTGCTGGCACTCGAGTACCTGCACAACTACGGAATCGTGCACCGGGACCTCAAGCCTGACAAGTGAGCCCCAGCCTTCTCACCACCCCCCAGTGCTGTGGGAAGTAGTCCCGGCTCTGAAATGCTGTCCCGTTCCCCACCCCCCGCACAGCCTCCTCATCACCTCCATGGGCCACGTCAAACTCACCGACTTTGGGCTCTCCAAGATGGGACTGATGAGTCTCACTGCCAACCTGTATGAGGGCCACATAGAGAAGGATGCTCGGGAGTTCCTGGACAAACAGGTATGTGATTCGGACCGGGGTCACCACGGGTGGCAAGACCCCGCATGACTGCAGGGTCTCGGACCTAAGTTGGGGGGATTGCGCAGCTCTGCCTCGAAACCTGCCTCCTGTGGCCTGGGTGCACGGGCTGACGGCCTGCCCCCAGGTATGCGGGACCCCTGAGTACATCGCGCCCGAGGTCATCCTGCGCCAAGGTTACGGCAAGCCGGTGGACTGGTGGGCGATGGGCATCATTCTCTACGAGTTCCTGGTGGGCTGCGTGCCCTTCTTCGGAGACACGCCCGAGGAGCTCTTTGGACAGGTTATCAGTGGTGCGTGCCACCAGGGCGGGCAGGTGGGGAGGCCAGGATGCATGCGGGCTCAGGGCCCTGGGGTCCTCCAAAGCGCCCCCAGCCCCACCTTTCTCTGCAGATGACATCCTGTGGCCCGAGGGGGATGAGGCCCTGCCCACGGACGCCCAGCTTCTGATTTCCAGCCTTCTGCAGACCAACCCGTTGGTCCGGCTTGGAGCAGGTAAGCGGCGGGTAGGCGAGATCGGCAGTGCAGAGAAAGTGAGGGGTGGGGTCTGAGGATAGGGAGCCAGATCCCAGTGTAACGAAGCTCAGGAAGCAGACATGCGATCACGTGATTCCTCTCTATACACACGCACACACACACACACACACACACACCCGCTCCCCAGGTGGTGCCTTCGAGGTCAAACAGCACAGTTTCTTCCGAGACCTGGACTGGACTGGGCTGCTGAGGCAGAAGGCGGAATTCATCCCGCACCTGGAGTCGGAGGATGACACCAGCTACTTTGACAGTGAGCCTGCAGCAGAGGCGGGGCCTGAGAGAAAGAGGGATGGTGCGGGTCCCTGGGCTGGGACCTGATTGGGTGAGAGAAGCTACAAGGGCAGAGCCAGAGGGTGGGATGGTGCGTAGTGGGCGTGGTCTGCTTGGGGTGGGGGTTGAATGAGAAATCTGAGAAAGGAAGACTGGCGCCGCTTGGTACCTAGAAGTTTAGGGTGGCCTGCAAAGAAAGTTCCACATTTGCATCTGGGTTTGCAGTGATGCTCAGTGCTACAGGGAAGGGCATGGGCTGGCCAGAGGCTGAGTCAGCTACGGGATGATGCGTTAGCTGGTAGAGCCCAGGAGCTGTGTGTGCAGCATGCCGCCGACTCCAACACCCCGGTGCTCCTCCGCAGCCCGCTCGGACAGGTATCACCACGTGAACTCCTACGACGAGGACGACACCACGGAGGAGGAGCCCGTGGAGATTCGCCAGTTCTCATCCTGCTCCCCACGCTTCAGCAAGGTGGGCCAGGGCAGGGACTGGAGCCTTTAGGCGGATGGGGGGCTAGATCCATGGGGGTTGGGACGGGTGGGATCCATCTAGGGGCCAGGTGAGGTGGAGTGGGATAGACCCGGAGCGGGACCAGACCAAGGGAAGGGGCGGGGCCAAGAAGTGCATGGTCAGAGGGGCGGGGCTAGGCCGGCTGGTCCTGGTTGAAGGTGGTTGCGGCTGGAAGTGGCCTGGAGTGAGGCCCGTGGCTCAAGCTGCAGTGAGTGGACCCCGGACCAGAGTTCTCACTCTGAGGAAGTGGAGGTCTGGGAGAGATGGGGCTGGGCGAGGCAGTCGCATGGGGTCGGAACAACCTAAAATGAGCCTGGATCTGGCAGGACCCTGGGCTGAGATGGACAGCCCACTGTGCTGTTTGGCTGAGCAGGACCACCCCAGGGCCAGCATCAGTGTGACCTCGCGAGCGGCAGGAACGGGCTGAATCCATTCTTGAGGGCCTGTGACTAGAAATGGGCGGGACTTCAGTCCGGGGTGGGGCCTGAGCTGAGAGCGGTGGGGAGCTGGGCAGCCTTGGCGGTTTGGAGCGGGGTGTCCTCAGGTCCAGCAACTGGAAAGCCGACTGCAAAGGCTGAAGGCAGGCCGGGAGGAACAACCTCAGAGTCCACTGCAACCCACTCTGCTGGACAGGTCTATAGCAGCATGGAGCAGCTGTCGCAGCACGAGCCCAAGACCCCCGTGACAAGCGCCGGCAAACGGGAGCCGGGCGCCAAGGGCCCAGAGGACAAGGTGGCCGGCAAGCGGGAGGGCCTGGGCGGCCTGACCCTACGCGAAAAGACCTGGAGAGGGGGCTCCCCTGAGATGTGAGCAAGCGCCTGGCTTTGTGTGGGGGCGGGGCCCTAAGGGGCGTGTCTGCTCTGACCACACCCCCTCTGCGCAGCAAGCGCTTCTCAGCATCGGAAGCCAGCTTCTTGGAGGGGGAGGCCAGTCCCCCGCTGGGAGCGCGCCGCAGGTTCTCGGCGCTGCTGGAGCCCAGCCGCTTCAGCGCCCCCCAAGAGGATGAGGATGAGGTCCGGCTGCGCAGGCCTCCCCGGCCGAGTTCCGATCCCCCAGGCTCACTGGATGCGCGGGTGTCCAAAGAGGCCGCTCAAGGGGATGGCACCCCCAGCGCCGGGGACCCGGAGGCCAGTGAGTGCCCCCCTCCTGCCGCCTTCCCCGACTCCCCAGTGACCAAATACCAAGCATTCAGGGAACTTGATGCCTCTTATTGCAAGATCTCACCCACACTTCACACTCCAACCTGAGGTTGTCAGCGGTGCTAGGAGCACCCTGTATTCTGGGCCACACACGTTACCTACCCCACGGAACTCACAATCCAGCGAGGGAGCAAAGAGGGGTGCGCACGCCAGGCATGCAGGTAGTGCGCCCCCTCCACTAACCCCTGATCCCCATTGCTCTGTTGTAGCTGACCGCCCCGGCGATCTCGGCCCCGCCTCGAAGGATGCAGACCCATCGGTCCCCAGAGCCACCAATGACTTGGTTCTGCGTCGGGCGCGGCACCAGCAGCTGTCGGGGGACCCCGCGGGAGAAAAACGACCCTCTCGGACCGGGGGCAAAGTCATCAAGTCAGCCTCGGCCACAGCTCTGTCTGTCATGATTCCTGCAGGTGATCCCAGGCCAGCCCGGGAGGGACGGGAGGTTTCCACCAGGACAGGCCAATGAAGACAGGTCAATGTCCCTGTTAGCACAGTGATTGGCGCTAGGACGGACCAATGAGAGTCCGGAAATCTCTGGGGTGGGCGGAGCACGCCGACACCTGCCGGCAGCACTGAGTCTGCATACCCAGACCACGATTCTTTGCAGTGGATCCACATGGAAGCTCACCCCTGGCCAGTCCCATGTCCCCTCGATCCCTCTCCTCGAATCCATCCTCCCGGGACTCTTCACCCAGCCGGGACTACTCGCCAGCCGTCAGCGGGCTCCGCTCCCCCATCACCATTCAACGCTCGGGCAAGAAGTACGGCTTTACCCTGCGCGCCATCCGCGTCTACATGGGTGACTCCGATGTCTACAGCGTCCACCATATTGTCTGGGTGAGCCCTCCAGGATGGGGTCCATGTCCCAGGATGGAGGGGTGGGGGTGGGATAGAGAGCCCTTGTTCTCTCAGAATTTGGGCCTTAGTTTGTGAAGTAGAACGTGACTATTTCATAAGGCTTAAGAATTCCCTGCGCCTGGCGCATATGCTTAGGAAATTCCTTGTCACCGGTAAATTCCTTGTTACCGATCTTTGAATACTGCACCTGTGGGATGCCCCCCGTCCACAGCACGTGGAAGAGGGGGGTCCCGCCCAGGAGGCCGGACTCTGTGCCGGAGACCTGATCACCCACGTGAACGGGGAGCCTGTGCACGGCATGGTGCACCCTGAGGTGGTGGAGCTGATCCTTAAGGTGAGTTGTTTAGAGCAACAGGGGAGGGGGGGAGGGACAGGAGAGTAGAAGCTCCTTACCCCCAGTTCTTCCCACAGAGTGGCAACAAGGTAGCAGTGACCACAACGCCCTTCGAAAACACTTCCATCCGCATCGGGCCTGCGCGGCGTAGCAGCTACAAAGCCAAAATGGCTCGGAGGAATAAGCGGCCTTCAGCTAAAGAGGGCCAGGAGAGGTGGGCGGGGCTGTCCAGCGGGCGTCCGGGAACCTCTCCAGTTCTTTCCGCGGTGGGAGGACCTTAGGGGAGGGTCCCAGATGAGGACCGAAGCCAGGGAATGCAGAGGAAGGTGCCTGGAGATGCGGCATGGTGGAAAAATCTGATGCCTAGCATGCGTAAGACTGGGCTCAGTCACCAGCCTGGGAAAAACAGGTGTGGGGGGAGGTGGGAGTTTCGGCTTCCTTGGGAGAAATTGTGGTGCCTTGGGCAGCTGGGCAAGATCCCCAGATATGAACTAGAGAGGGCACTGCTTAGGGGATGGGTCTGCCTGGTCAGGTGTATTTGGACACTTGGAAGAACTAGAAGAGTTGACTCTCTGGAATGCGCGTGCTCTGGACCCATTAAAATAATTCTATAATTACAGAAAGAGCAAGAAAAAGGGTGAGGTCAGGCGCCTTTTAAATAAAAATCAAGGGGTTCGGCCTAGCATGAAATGAATGAGGGGTTGAAAGATAGTATAGTGGGTAGAGCATTTGCCTTGCATGCAGCTGACCCGAGTTCAATTCCTGACATCTCATAGGTCCGCCGAGCAGCGCCAGGAGTAATTCCTGAGTGCAGAGGCAGGAACAACCCCTGAGCATCACGGGGTGTGGTCTCAAAACAAATAAACAAAGAAAATGAGTGAGAGGTTGAAATAAGGGAAATCAACCGAGAGGGCAATTTTCTTTCCTGCCTACTTGGATTTAATAAGAGAGGGCGGGGCTATAAAGATGGGCGGAGCCAGAAAGTGGGTTCCATTTGGTAAACTCTGGTGGCGACTGGGAGTGGCCAGATGAATGCAATAGGAGGAGCCTGTGACGTTCTTGCTATCTTGATAGGTGGATTGCAGCTGGAGGGGGCGGGGCCGGGGAGGGCCTGCAGCTGGTGGTGCCGCCCCAAGTGGGTGGAACCAAGAGTCGCCGGGTCTGGATCCCAGGGATGTCTCCCTCTCTCCGTGTTACTTAGCAAGAAGCGCAGCTCCCTCTTCCGGAAGATCACCAAGCAGTCGAACCTGCTGCACACTAGTCGCTCGCTGTCATCGCTGAACCGGTCGCTGTCGTCCAGCGACAGCCTTCCAGGCTCGCCCACGCATGGGCTGCCTGCGCGCTCACCCACGCACAGCTACCGCTCCACGCCCGACTCGGCCTACCTGGGTGAGTAGCTCTGCGCCAGCCAGGTGGGGGGACCCGGGCCGTGGGGTGGGCGGGGGCTCTCCGGGCACCGCAGCGTCCCTCGTCCGCAGGCGCCTCGTCCCAGAGCAGCTCTCCGGCCTCCAGCACGCCCAACTCGCCCGCGTCGTCCGCCTCACACCACATCCGGCCCAGCACACTGCACGGCCTGTCGCCCAAGCTGCACCGCCAGTACCGCTCGGCGCGCTGCAAGTCGGCGGGCAACATCCCGCTGTCGCCACTGGCCCACACGCCGTCGCCCACGCAGGCCTCGCCGCCGCCCCTGCCCGGCCACACGGTGGGCAGCTCGCACACGACGCAGAGCTTCCCCGCCAAGCTGCATTCGTCCCCGCCCGTGGTGCGCCCGCGCCCCAAGAGCGCCGAGCCGCCGCGCTCCCCGCTGCTCAAGCGCGTGCAGTCGGCGGAGAAGCTGGGCGCCTCGCTGGGAGCCGACAAGAAGGGCGCGCTGCGCAAGCACAGCCTGGAGGTGGGCCACCCCGACTTCCGAAAGGACTTCCACGGCGAGCTGGCCCTGCATAGCCTGGCGGAGTCGGACGGCGAGACGCCCCCCATCGAAGGGCCTGGCGCCTCTCGCCAGGTGGCTGTCCGCCGCCTGGGCCGCCAGGAGTCGCCCCTGAGCCTGGGCACGGACCCGCTGCTGCCCGATGGCGCCCCCAGGCCGCCCTTGTCCTGCAAGGAGAAGGAGTCTCCCGGGGGCGTGGAGGCCTGCACCCCGCCCCGCGCCACCACTCTGGGGGGCCGGACCCTGGATCGGGACCCCAGCTGCACGCGGCATCAGAGCGTGCAGACGGAGGAAGGGCCGGGAGGCCTGAGCAGGGCCGTGGCCAAGGCGGCGCTGAGCCCGGTGCAGGAGCATGAAACGGGTCGGCGCAGCAGCTCTGGCGAGGCGGCTCCACCCTCGGTGCCCATCGTGGTGGAACCAGTGAAGCCGGGGCCCAAGGCTAAGGCCCCTCAGCCCCCCGGTGCAGACTCCAAGGGGGCCCAGGAATTTGCTGCCCAGCCGTGCCCTGCACCAGAGGTCACGCGGGGCCACGAGCGCTGGGTGCTGGAGGTGGTGGAGGAGCGGACGACGCTGAGCGGGCCTCGCTCCAAGCCTGCCTCCCCCAAACTCTCCCCAGACCCCCAGGCTCCATCCATAAATCCCACCAAGAATATGCCCAGTGGAGGCGGCTCACAAGCCCCACCGGCTTCCCTCCCGGTCCAGGCCAGCAAGCCTGAAGCAGGCTTGACCTCTCGCTGTCCTGCTGAAACCGTGCACACAGCAGTAGGGTTCCCTAAAAAAGGGGTGCCCTGCCCCACACCCCCAGGCCCCTAGCCCCGAGGGCCCTATGTTGTACAGCCTCTGTATACATATGTACACATATAAATAAAGTGTCACTGTGCTCCGTGAGCTTCCCTGGGGCTCCCCTTCTCCCCCCACCTTGCCAGGCCGGCCTTCTCACACACTGCGGCATGTAAGGGCCAGTCCTGGTCACTCCAGGGCCAGACTCTTCCCTCTGTACTGCCTTTGGCTCTCACTGCCAGACCGGGGATCGCCAATTCCCTCTTCTGGAGGATCATGGCCCCACACCCACCCTTTCCTGCTACTGCCTGGGTGGGGCTTTGCTCCAGTCCTGTCCCTTCTCTTTGTGCCCACTGTTGCCCCTGGGCTTCCTTGGGAACTAGAGTGCAGTTCAGAGCCCCAGTGCCCATCCCAGCAAAGGTGAATGGTCGCATCTTCAACACTCTCTTTTTTCCCCGGGAATCCGAGGCAGGCGCGCGGCTTCCCATTTCCCAGGTGGATACACTGAGCCCCCTTCAGGTGCTCAGAGCTCACTCTTTAGTTTCTCTGCGAGGTCTTCTGGAGAGACAGTCTCGTGTGGGCAGGGTTGGTACCCGGTCACCAGAGACTTGAAGGCATTCCAGAGATTCTGCATCTGAGCGCACAGTGCACCCCCACTTCGGAAGTACCCCCTGTAGTTCTGATTCAGGTCAGTCACACAGGTCAGAGGCGACACACCACTTGGAGTGGTCTTTGGGGGAGCTGTAGGTTGGGACATGCGGAAATCTGATCTGGGTGACATTGTACACATGATATTGCTGGAGCAGTTAGAAGGTATGACCTTCCAGCACCAGAATTGCACTCAGGTTGCTGCTGAGAGCTTCTGCCAGCCAGCCTGCTTACAGGTCTGCAGAAGGTGGGCACTGGCAGGTCAGCAGCAATCCCTCCCCCAAGGGGACCTGGGCACACAGACACCCCTCCTATACTCATAGCCCCCAACTTTCAAACTCAGGGCTCACCATCTCTGAAATTCGTATACTTGGAGAAACTCCGGAAAGTGGCACATGCCTTGGACGTGACAGTCACACTCCTGTTCCATGGGCACTGGCGCATGTGTTTGCCCAGAATCACATCTGTCAGCTCAGGCAGCTTCTGTGTGTAGTTCTCATTCAACTGACTGTCATACACCAGGGGGTAGGTGTAGTTGAGCTGTTTGCCTGGGGGTTAGGCAGCAGAAAATGAGGACAGTGCCATAGACTGTGGCCCTTGGAAATCGGGGACTTACCAATGTTTTGGAACTTGGCCAGAGGAAAGGACGTGCACAGCAGTGTCTGCCCGTATCAGAGCGCGTTGGAGGGCCAGCGGAATGCATGAGTTTGGGCAGGTGGAGGGAGCCTGGGCACACTGTGAATCATCCAGAAACCTTCAACTCTGTCCAGGAGCACCAGCCCTAAAGCAGAGGCGGGAATCAGGGCCTGCAGTAGGAACCCCTGGGCAAGCAACTGGTTGCAGGGAAGGGCATGAACTCAACAGGAGGAGGCAGGAATCCAGGTCTTGCCTTCCTGGCCACCCGCCCAGGTGAAATTTTAGCAGAGGAAACATTTTTCGTAACAGAGTCTTTCCCAGCGTGTGGTATGGCCTCACCCTTGGTGTGTCCACGAGTCACGGGGCGGGGGGGGCCTCACTGAGCAGAGAGTTTGGGGGCTGGTCATTGTAAAGCAGCAAGGCGAGCTGCAGGGGGTGGTGATGGTGCACAGTTCAGGCTTCCTCCAGCCCACCACCCACTAGAGTGCCCCCACAACAGCAGCCTTGTACCGCATCACCTGTTATTGTGTTCGTAGAGTAGCCTCAGGCTGAGGCCCAGGGCCCCCTGCGAACTGTTGATGGGGCCCATGCCATCCTGCCAGCTGCCTGAGCTGGCATCCAAGTACTTGTACCGAAGACCATCAGGCACCCCAGAACCATCCGTGCAGTCCACAGGTGCACTGGACTCCCCAGGACTGTTACAGTTGGCAGGGAGCATGTAGATGACAAACCTGGAGTTTGAGGAAAGCACAGAGGCACAGAAGGAAAAGGACAGTCTCCATCGGGCTGGCCCGATCCCCGATGCAGATCAGGGTCCCTGCAGGGACCCACAACGGTGTGGCCAGCAGTAGCAGGCTCAGTGCAGCCATGGGATTTGGGAGGGTCCCAGGACTGTGGGGCACAGGTTCAAGAGCTCGCCCAAGCCCCTTCTCCAAAGTCATTCCCTTCCCCATGCCCCCTGAGAGGGAACCCCTATGTGAGAATGTTCCAAGTGTGGAGATCCCAGAGGAGAAGCAGAGCTTTGAGGTAATCAGGGACCCAGGGCGGGGCTTCTTACTGAATGGTCATTCACTGGGCTTGGCTTTGACCATGAACCCTGTTACCAGAGTCTCCAATGAGAGGGATCACTTCCCACCTGCACCGGGCCAATCAAAGATCTGCTCTTTTGGCGCCCCCACCTTTTAATTGGAGTCATTCCAATTCTCTCTCCCACAGAACTGTGCTTTTTCTGGGATATTAAGATCAGATGCAAATTTGGATTTTCCCCTTTTCTGTTTCATTAAACGGCCTGCACATCATTCCTTGGTGGGGCTCACAAGCACCTGATCCTCCACCTGTACCTGGCTCCTGGCAGAATGAGGAGCTTGTTGAGTCTGGCCTAAAGGTCTGAAATTCATGAGTTGAAGCAGGAGACTTGGGACCTTGTACCTTACTGGGGTGAGAAGTGAGGGGTAAAGAGGACGAGGGTGACATGTCTGCAGGGCTGGAGGGGGGTTGTCTTGGAGGTTCAGTTGGTGTGGGTATAAGGGTGTTCCTAATCGCCATAAATTCTTGTCTGCTTTTGGTCACACCTGGGAGTGCACAGGGGTTATTCTTTTTTATTTTTTAATTTTTATTAGTGAGACACCATGAGGTACAATTGTAGACTCTGCACGCAGGAATCTTCATTCCGGACAGGCTCAGGAACCATAGGGGATGCTGGGGATCGAACCTGAGTACCGTGCAAGGCCAGCGCCCTACATGTTGTACTATCTTTCCAGCCCCTGATCCCCATAGATTCCACAGGTACAATTTCCTCTTCTCTTCCAGTCCCCCAAACGCATGAGGTCAGGCCAACACTGAAGCTTTTCTAGGATCAACATTATGAAAACTCAAAGGCATTCAAGGCATGTTTCAGATCTCCGTGGTCACAGAGTGCACCCCTTCCAGGTCCAAGTCTCTGAAGGTGGCACCCACAGGGCAGAGGGCTGGGAAAGGTCCCTGGCTGGGACCCGATTGGCTGCGAGACCAGCAGCTGCAGAGGATTGGCCAGATGAGGGGGCGGGACGCACAGGCGCGTGGTCTTGCTTGGAGCGTGGCTGAGTGAGACTATATAGGCAGGGACGGAGGGATGGGACCTAGAATGCTGAAGACAAGGACCACAAAACAGAGGAAGAGCTTGCCAAGACCCTTCAGTTCCCTCCTGCTCTCTGTGCTTCAATCTGGGTGTTCTGGGGGCAAGTCTGGGAAGGGGCGAGACTAGACTCAGAGGAAAGTTTATGTAAGTGACATGGCTAGCAGAGATAGGGCCCAAGCCTAATAGGGGGCCCTGGGAGATGGGGCAGGCCCAGGGGAGGGTGTGGGGAGCCGGGACAGGGCCAAGCCAGACCGGGTTTGGTTCACCTGGGCAGGGACTGCTGGATGAAGCCACAGAGCCCTGGCCCAGGCTCACTCCCTGGTAGTGGGTGAAAAATAGAGAAGCAAAAGCAGTGCCATGACAGGCTCATAAAGAAGCCAGAAGAAGCTAGGCCTAGGTATGGGGTCCAGAATTCCTGGAGTTGAGCAGTTACCTGGAGTTTAGTTATGATTTCTCCGACTTGAGATAGCCATCATCAGGTCAACTAAGGTTACCAGTCAGATGCAGGTTGGGAAGCTCCACCCCTAGAGCACCTTTGTGTAACTTTTTTTGTTTTTTGGCTTTTTTGGTCACACCCAGACACGCTCAGGGATTACTCCTGGCTCTGCACTCAGAAATGACTCCTGGCTGCGCTCAGGGGACCATATCGGGGATTGTACGAAGGTTGGCTGCATGCAAGGCAAACACCCTCTCTACTGTTATCACGTGGGCCCCAAAAATCCTTATGTAACTCTTTTTTTTTTTTTTCATTTTGGATCACAGCTAGCGATGCTCAGGGGTTACTCCTGAATCAGGAATTACTTCTGGTGGTGCTTGGTGACCATATGTGTTGCCAGGGATTGAACCTCGATCATCTACATGGAAGGCAAATGCCCTACCCGCTGTAACCGTTATGTAACTCCAATATAACCAATCACCTGAGTACAGGTAGTATAAAGCCACTCTGACTGTGGCCAAAAGAGTGATCCATGGAAAGTCCCTGTTATATAATGTTATGGTACAGAAGCCCCTCACTTTTGAGACTTGGGGCCACTTGTCTAGAAGGTTGCTATTGTCAGTGAGCTGGACAAGGGTCCTAGCTCGAGCTAGCCAATAGACCATTTTGACCGTTTTCTAGACCGTTTTCTTATTGCATCTCAACTTGTCTTCATGTGATTCGTCTGGAGAGATCTCGGCCCGGTTTAACGTGGGGGTCTGGAGAGATGATGCATTGGTGCATGGGGTCTGGAACAGCCTCAGGTGGGATATAGGGGGACTCTGGATCAGACTGAAAAGGGAAGTAGGGCGTGGTTAGCACCTGGGGCACTCAGGAGCAGCCGGTAGGTGGGGCCACTGGTGAGGCTGCAGGTCTGACTGTTGAGGAGACCATATAAGGGTGCGGAAGTCCTGGGGATCAGGGTCAGTGTAATGAGGTTTGCTGGGGGAAGCTGATTCCTCAAGGCTGGGACCAGGGGGCAGGACACTCACAGGCGTAGTTCTTCGTGAGCAGTCTTTGCAGTGGGATGCGGACCACTGCCTGCGACGCACACACCAGCCTTCAGTCCAGTGCGTCCTATACTGTGTACATATGCACAATATAAAGTGCTCCCCATGCTCTGGGAGCATCCTGGGCCCCCCATTCTCTCCCCAGCAAGACCAGCCATTTCTGG